ACGAAATTCCCGTTTATAGTAAAACCTACAGATATCCCTTTGTGCATAGGCAAGAAGTTCGAACACAAATTAAAAAAATGCTTGACCAAGGTATCATACGACCTTCTACTTCAGCCTGGAGCGCGCCTATTTGGATTGTCCCTAAAAAAGCAGATGCCTCGGGCAAAACTAAATGGAGACTAGTAGTTGACTTTAGAAAACTCAACGAAAAGACTGTGGACGATAAGTACCCCATTCCCAACTTGACTGACATCCTAGACAAGCTAGGTAAATGCCAATATTTTTCCACTCTTGATCTTGCCAGTGGCTTTTATCAAGTGGAAATGCACCCTGACGACATTCACAAAACCGGTTTTAGTGTTGCAGACGGCCAGGGACACTTTGAATTTTTAAGAATGCCCATGGGACTCAAAAATAGTCCGTCCACTTTCCAGCGCTTTATGGACAACGTGCTAAGAGGCTTACAGAACGTTATTTGCGTTGTCTATTTAGATGACATTCTAGTATTCTCAACTTCTCTACAAGAACACGTGATAAACCTACGTAAAATCTTTGATAGGCTTCGAGACTCAAGCCTATCAAAGATTTTACGTAACGTACTACAGACGTTTTATCCCGGATTTTGCTCGTTTGACAAAACCCCTTACAACGTGCCTTAAAAAAGGTTCTAAAATTTTACTGACCCCTGACTATGTGAAATGTTTCGAACATTGCAAGACTTTACTAATGAACGACCCCATTCTTCAGTATCCAGACCTATCTAAAGATTTTATTTTGACTACGGATGCCTCAAACGTCGCCCTAGGAGCCGTTTTGTCACAAGGCCCCATTGGCTCAGACAGACCAGTCGCTTATGCATCCAGAACCCTTAACGACACCGAACTGAATTACTCCACCATCGAAAAGGAATTGCTTGCAATAGTCTGGGCAACGAAATACTTTAGACCTTACTTATTTGGCCGCAAATTCAAAATTATCACAGACCACAAGCCTCTTCAATGGCTTCTTAATTTAAGAGAACCTAATTCTCGTCTTACTCGATGGCGACTAAAATTGGCAGAATATAACTTTACCATAATTTACAAAAAAGGCAAAGCAAATACTAACGCAGATGCACTGTCCCGCGTTGAAATTCATAACGAAGAGTTAGATTCAGTGGTGGTTAACATCAGCGACTCCTCATCATCACCATCAATCATTCAAATTAGTGATTCGTCATCCTCAACAATCACTGCTCCCGATGATAGGCCCATCATCAGCCAATCTTCAACTGACACAGCACCGAGCATGAGACCACTTTCTAGTCCACCACCCGATAATTACGATAATTTACCTTTCCTACCAGGCTTTGAAGAAGACACAAATCACACTAGTGTTGAACATCCCATACTCGAACTACCAGTATCAGAAGAACCCCTAAATAAATTCAAAAGACAGTTAATCATAAAAGTTAACACTAACCCTTGTAATGCTAGACCAAAAACGACAGTACCATTTGAGACATACAGAAAATCAATAGTTCAAATTTCGGAAAACAACCTAGAAGAAGATATTATATCTGTCGTAAAAAATCACATTGATCCCAAATTATATTGTACCCATTCTACAAAAAACCTTTAAAAATGCCGCAGCCAACCTGGTCCTTGTCAAAAATGAAATTCAAGATATTTGTGATTTTCTTAACCAACAAGATTTAATATTAAAGTACCATGAAGGAAAAACCAACCATAGAGGTATAAATGAGACACATTTAGCATTATCTCAACGTTATTTTTGGCCAAAATTAAAAGACAGTATAACAAAATATATAAATCAATGTGACATATGCAATCGCGCTAAATATGATCGCGACCCTTTGCAACCTCAGTTTCAAATTGTACCTCCAACGTATAAACCATACCAGGTAGCACATGTGGATGTACTCACCATAGAACAGGATAAATATCTTACAATTATAGACTCTTTCTCTAAATATGCTCAAGTGTACCGATTACCAGATTGCACAGCCCCAAATATAATTAAAGCATTCTTAACGTTTTCGACTCATCACGGATTTCCTATGCGCCTAGTCACAGACCAGGGTACAGAATTTGTGAATCAGGTAGTGAGCGAATTTTTAAAGTTACATCAGGTGCAGCATCATAAAATAGCAGCTCACGCTCCTAATGAAAATGGAATGATAGAACGTTTCCATAGCACCCTCTTGGAACATATTCGTTTATTAAAATTACAACACAAAAATGAGCCTACACAAAATTTAATACCATACGCAATCATCGCGTATAACAGCTCCATCCACAGCCTAACAAAGTGCAGACCATTTGACCTCATAACTGGACACTTTGACCCCAGAAACCCGACAGACTTAAATTTATCGGAACGACTTTTACAACAATACTTACAAGAACATCGTAGTAAAATGGACACGGTATATAACATTATACATGACACGTCATACGCCGAGCGTACTGCTATTATGGAGCGCCGTAACTTAGATCGCGAACCAGAAATTCAGTATAATCAAGATCAAACAGTTTACATTAAAAACCCAGCTGCTAGTAGGCAGAAAACTGCAGCCCGCTATACGCATGATAAGGTTGTTACTAATCTGCCAATACATATTTACACATCCAGAAAACGAGGCCCAGTTGCCAAGACTAGACTTAAACGAGAAAAGAAAAATAATGAGGTTACGTTGTTACAGGATCCCCTTACTCATGGACCTGGACCGAGCACAAGCAGGTCCACTAACACAAAACATGATCCGACTTGATGACCTCTCCGACGGACCTGGACTTCTCCCCTTTAAACTTGGTTCAACGAAAATTGTATCACATGACCATACCTTCCTCCAAGAAATTGACCTTGACGAAATCCAACAACAGATTGACTCACTACAGACTCAACTAACTGATCTATCCAATAGGGTATCCAATAGACATTTTGCTCTATTTAAATATCAAATATTGCATTTATTCGGCAAACTTAATAAAACTTCACTAGAATTAGAAACCTTTGAACCAAAAAGGCTTAAAAGAGGACTTTTTAACCCGCTAGGAACTTTCATTAAAAGTATATCGGGTAACCTCGATAACGAGGATGCTCTGAGATTCGAGAATGCTCTTAAAATATTGCAAAACAATGACAAAGACCTTTCGGATAGTTTTAATAAGCATATTAGTTTATATAAAGAAATGACCATCCAACAAACTCAAATTTTAAATAATATCTCTTCAAATCAAAGAAAATTAGAAAAAGCAATAATTTCAATAAGTAATACATCTGTAACTGAAAAAGAACAGATGTATCAATTTACACAGATTTCCCAATTATTTAGCATACTTACGGAAAATATTCTGGAACTCTCATCTGAAATAAGTAGATTAGGTAATATTTTAGCTTTTAGTCGCACAAACGTAATGCACCATTCTATACTATATATAAGTGATTTAAAAAATATGTTAACACAGCTTAAAAATCTATATAATCCCAATGCGTTACTAAACTTAGATGTTAGGTTTTATTACGATCTAATTACCTTAGGATCATATTTTATTGATAAGAAAATTGTAATTGTCTTGAAGTTTCCTTAATGTCTCTAGAAACATATGACCTTTATAGACTCTGTCCTGTTCCTGATAAAAACTCAGAAATTATCCTTCCACCATTCCCATACATGGCATCCAATTCCCAGGAATTTGCGTACATGGAGGCTGAATGCCCGAAGATCGACACCTGGTACATATGCAAGCAGCAGCTTAACCATCAAACCCGAACACGCAGTGACTGCGTCTTCAATCTCATTTATCATCAGAATACAGGAGAGTGCCATCCTACATCCATATCACTCCTGAAGGAAGCACTACTAGAATTGGACAGTCAACATTATATTTTATCATTACCTAACAAAATCAAAGTAAAAATATCATGCGGACAAGAAAAATATCATCTGTTAAAAGGAAGCTACTTCGCAACGATTCCCCGAAATTGCAGCATTCACACACCAGAATTCACAATTGTTAATACTGATGACAAATTTCGTGGGCAACCTGTTGAAATAATGACATTCCCACACTCGACTCCGATGTCAGCAAATTCGAAGAAAAACTTACCACATTATAATTTCACAACAATTGATTTGAACAAATTACACAATATTCAACATCAATTACTCATTGTCCCACCTGTTAGAATTAACACCGTGGATTTATCCAGCTTATATCACACCACGATACCTACATACGTCATCATACTGTTAAGTGCACTTGCACTCATTAGTGTGGCTTACTACCTGAGACGGCGTAAGATCCAACAGCGAGTTAAATCTACACAGCCTCAAGAGATGGAAATGGCATCAGCGGGTTCTACACCATCCATCGAAGAAAGAAAAGCCGCAACATTTGCTCTCAATCTTCGCAAATAGTTGCTCATCTAGGAGGGAAGGTGTTACGAGTACAAGACTCGTCTACGTCACTCATACGTCACGCGTACATTATGTGTTTCCCAAGTGCAGGTGGCTCGATTGAGCAATCGTGTTGAAAAGTGCTTATTAGACAGATTTAGTTAATGTAAAACCTTCGGACAGTTTTGGGAGTTGCTTGAGCTTCAATCGTGGAAGCATCTTGACGTATAGTTTGTAAGACCGGATCATCGGGATCAATTAGTATAAGTAATTTTGTAAAACATTTAAATAAATAAAGTTATAATTTAAAGTTTAGTTTTTAAAAACCCTACCTGACGGCTCAATTCCGTAATTAGCATTTGGCAAGTTTATTTATCTACTGTTTGTTGCCAAAGCATCAAATATATTCTATTCAATAGGTAACTAATGGGCTTATAAATTATTGTGTTCATTTCTCATTACATTATTAGGTATTTTATTGATAAGTGGTATCGACAAGGCGCGTCCTTCAATGTGCGTACTTTACAAAGTTTTTGTTCTGTGATTCTATCAGATCAGATTTTTTAATTTCCCCAATACCCTTACTCGATCTTAATAGGCTGGTGAACTACGCCGCACGCTGCAATCTCTAGCTTGTGGTAAAGCGCGCGTTCTAGGCAAATGGCCGCGCGGTCGAGAAGTACAAGATGCAGATACATTCGCCTTCAACAACGACTTCACCAATAAACTGTTCCGCATCAAGATCAACCAAATACAAATGAAGGAGACGGTACGTATACACCCCGCCCCCCCCCCCCCTCACACACATACACAGAGAGAGAGAGACAATGAAAATAATCATTTATTCAGTTTAGGCTGTTACAAGCACTCATGAATGTCTAGATGCTACGCCATCGGTTCGTAAATCTACGACGGGAGACCTTGTACTGAGAAGAACCGGCAAGAAACTCAGCAAGGGCAGTTTTTTTTTCTCTCTGTTTTATTATTAAGAGAGTTGTCAAGTAGAAAAATGACTTCAGAGATGATACATGAAGTCACCTTTCATAACATAATGATCAAATATACATTAATTGTTGACCTGCATTTTGATTGCTGGGTCATACAGTATAGATACATAAAGACAAATATACACAAACTAACCACTTGCTTTCGTTCTATTAATAACACATTTTACTTTTTTTAAGTTAGTTATTGTAAAACACTGAACCTATTGGGATTTCAAAAAAACGTCGTATTTGAGGAAAATTTAAATACAAAAAATATAAAAAGTCTTGTGGATGGCGCCATATACTTTTTAAAAACAATAGATTTTTCCTAAAATATATTTGACAGTCGTATGTATGAATTGAAATCTGTCCCAAAATATTGAGTGCGCATTGGAAACCAGATTAATAAGGCATTCCACCCTCAATAATGTAAAAATAAATAAGGAATTTATTCCCTGAATTATTTTTAACGTTTTGTATATTACAAATTTGCAAATCAAGTCGATAGCGTTATAAAATCCTTAACGTCGTAGAAAATGTGCTCTTCTAAACAAACCCTTATTACTATTACATTAAAAACGAGTGTTGTTTGTTCCGAACAGAGCGAGGAACAGAAGGCGACGGAGGAACGGGTGTTCCAGGACAGGCAGTACCAGATCGACGCGGCCATCGTTCGCGTCATGAAGATGCGAAAGGCGTTATCTCACAACCTGCTCATATCCGAGCTATACAACCAACTCAAGTTCCCCGTCAAGGTGACCGATATTATCACTCATATAATATGTTTCTAACCCGAGGGTACTTTAAGGATCGCAATAGAGATCGACGCGGCCATCGTTCGCGTCATGAAGATGCGGAAGGCGTCATCTCACAACCTGCTCATATCCGAGCTGTACAACCAACTAAAGTTCCCAGTCAAGGTGACCGATGATAGTATCTCATTTAAAATATGTTTCCTACCCGAGGGTAGTTTAAGGATCGCAATACAGATCGACGCGGCCATCGTTCGAGTTATGAAGATGCAGGAGGCATTATCTTATAACCTGCTCATATCCGAGCTGCACAACCAACTCAAGTTCCCAGTCAAGGTGACCGATACTATCAGTCATATAATATGTTTCTAACCCGAGGGTAGTTTAAGGATCGCAATAGATATCGACGCGGCCATCGTTCGCGTCATGAAGATCCGGAAGGCGTTATCTCACAACCTGCTCATATCCGAGCTATACACCCAACTCAAGTTCCCCGTCAAGGTGACCGATATTATCACTCATATAATATGTTTCTAACCCGAGGGTACTTTAAGGATCGCAATAGAGATCGACGCGGCCATCGTTCGCGTCATGAAGATGCGGAAGGCGTCATCTCACAACCTGCTCATATCCGAGCTGTACAACCAACTAAAGTTCCCAGTCAAGGTGACCGATGATAGTATCTCATTTAAAATATGTTTCCTACCCGAGGGTAGTTTAAGGATCGCAATACAGATCGACGCGGCCATCGTTCGAGTTATGAAGATGCAGGAGGCATTATCTTATAACCTGCTCATATCCGAGCTGCACAACCAACTCAAGTTCCCAGTCAAGGTGACCGATGATACTATCTCATATATAATATGTTCCCAACCCGAGGGTAGTTAAAAGATCGCAGTACAGATCGACACGGCCATCATTCGAGCCATGAAGATGCGGAAGGCGTTACCTTACAACCTGCTCATATCCGAGCTGTACAACCAACTCAAGTTCCCGTCAAGGTGATTAAAACTCACACACAATTTTAACCAATTTGATAACATTGTGTTATATTCCTACTTACAGATGAAGTTATAAGTTGCATTTTGATGGCTGTTTATTGTCCTAAAAAATATTAAAAGAAAAACATGGAGTTCGTTATATAACTCATACTAGCCGCTGCTGCTGGGTACCCGCAACTTCCTCTGCGTGGTAAAATTGATTTCCCATGAAACTCCTGTACCGTTTCTCATTCTCTTTAAATTATTTTTTGCAAGTAACCTATAACCATCTTCAGGGTGTTATCTGTCTATGCCAAAACTCATTATAATCGAATATAGCTGTTTAGACGCGGAAACATTTTTTAAAATTTAAACTTTTTAAAATTAGAACGAATATGGCTTAGAAAGCTTAGTTATTAACGCAAATTTTGACGTCCTCCGTAGCCGAGTGGTTTGTACGCCGAGTTTCATGGTGTCGCCGACTCGAGAAGTCCCGGGTTCGAATGTTTGTGTGATGAATATAAGCATTTGTACTCCAGTCATGGATGTTTAATATGTATTTCTATTTATATATACTTATATGTACTGTATATTATGGATTCTATCCGTTACCCTAGAATCCCATAACACAAGCCTTACAGTGCTTATATTGGGGCTAGGTTAATTGGTGTCAGTGTTGGAAATATTTATTTAAATATCATCACTTTGTCCCACAGCCCGCCGACCTGAAGAAGCGCATCGAGTCATTGATGGACCGCGACTACATGGAGCGCGACCGCGATAACCCCAACCAGTACAACTACGTGGCGTAACCGCCGTCCCCTGTCGCTAATACAATAAACGTTGCCAAGCAAAACCGAAACCTCTCTCATTTGCTCTCGTTCATTCATTCACATGTCTTTTTTAGGGCCAATTGCACCGAAATTCTTAAGCTGCGTACGGAAAGCACATTACAGTGTTCCAGAGTATAATGCGATTCAACTAAGAATAGGACCGACTGGGCGCCATATTGTGACGTCATAGCTGTCAATTTAAACTAAATAGGTAAAGTGAGCAAAAAAAATGTTTATTTATTAAGATTGTGCGAGAAAACATTAATCAGAATCTAGCTCTTCAATTCCGCTCATCTGTGCATTACCGCCGGAGCAGTTATGAAAAATCATGCACTATTACTAGATCACATGCGGACATGCATCCTTTATGTAAACGAAAGTTTTAAATCGAGTTTCTGAACGCAACTTAAAGTGACATTTGATTGACGATTTAGGTTAGCAACCATTCATAGCCAAATCTAAATAAATGAAAAAGAAATATCAATCAATATTCATTATCAAGATTTGTTATTGTTTGTTTACAAATGTTTGGTTTTTATTCTAGAATTAGCTGGGGGCTAAAAAAGGGTTCCAAGTTTTTTTTGCAAACCGTACTTTTCAAGCGATGTTTGACAGATGGAGCTCATTGGCTTTCCTATTCTTATTTGAATCGCGCTATACGCGTAGTCAAATTCGCGTGACCTAGAACGCCACATAAATACTTAAAGCTACGCGTACCCTCTACGATTAGCTTTGAGTATGGACATGGCGTTCCGAGGTACGCGTTACTGACTACGCGTACCCTGGAACGCGCTATCCGTACGCAGCTTTAGAGAGCGATTCAAACTTAATGGCGATTGTGAAGTAAACGTAAAACAAGATACAGTAAACGAAATGTAGGATGATGAAAACCGAACTGAAACCTGCACAAGTTGTCGCTCGCTGCTGACTTCACAAACCGCCATTGTGTCTGAATTACACTATTAATCCTATTAAACATCATATCATTTGAAATTTAATAATTGTCGAAAGTCATGTGGAGATAGGACTTGTACATGTTTAGCTTTTAACTTTGATTAAAGAACTTTGGTGCAAATGTGCTTATGTGTAATGATGTGCGATGTCTACGGATATTTCACGGATCTTTTACACCCGTCACAAACTACTAGCTATCCTGCGTCAATTCTGTATCATATCTTTATTGTGCGCTTGAAGTTGAACTTGTCCGCTAATATGAAGATATTTCAAACCTTACCGTGCTAGTAATTAATATGAATTCATATAACGAATTTGCCAAATCTGTCGATTGTTTTCCTGAAATGCCGATGATTGTTACGTTTGCTGGATAATTAATGGTTCAAAGAAATGACTGCTTAACGTTAGTGACAAACTGTTATGTTGAACAAATAAATGGTAATAATTTTACTATCTGTTTGGGAACATTACTAATTCCGAAGTCCTAATTCTCCTACCATGACATGGTGACTAAACTGGCCTAATCATTGGCATCTCATGCTCTATATAGTGTTTTGTCAATGAAGAGACGTTTTGTTGAATTTTCTTTGAAAAAACCATATACATTTTAGGTCTTATGTAATGGTTTTCGAAATGGAAAGACAGTCCGATAGGGTTTAGTTTTCATAAGCGCAAAGTTGTATGGAATTCGAGAAACGTCATCTAATAGAAATCATAACATACTTCAATAACGAAAACATGGCTTTTACTAGCGAATGAGTATCAAAATCACATTTCATTTTTGCTCAATAAAAATTTCCTTAGCAGAGCATGGAGTGTTGTTTATGTAAATGTAGATAGATTAACACTTTATCATATGTCCTTCCTATAATTGTCGACACAATATTAAATTAATTTAAGGCAATTTATCGAATTCTTGGATAAAGCATATCTGTCAGTAATTATTACTCAGGCAAAAGAAATTCCATCCTCAATACCAAAAATGACATCCGTAAAAACTAAACGACAGGACTCGTACGTATTTAACAAACCATTTACATTGTGTCGGCGTAAAACGATATCAGTCGTATACATTTTATTTGAGAATTGAATAATTTGCCCTACGTGTATTTACACTAACCATTTAAGTAAACAAAACTGCAGTGAAAGTGACCGCAGCAAGCTTTTCACACAACAGCAATTGTCTTGCGCTATTCTACTAAATTCATAGGAATTGTAAATATATTGAAATTTGTTAATGACTAGATAGAATATCTGGGATAAAGAGATAAGCAGTGACCTAAAGAGATATCTCGGGTTGAGATCTTCAAATAGTTCTTACGACTACTAGTTTATATCCTAGAACATAACGTGTGATATTAGAATGGATCGTCCTCCAGTGACTAGTTCGCTATACTCCCATTGATACCTTTTATACTATGCAGATTCTCTAAACTTAAAAGTGAATTTGACAGCAGTCCCTCCTTGTCATTATCCATAGTGTATGATAAGGATATAACTACTGGCAGATCTGGTTTTAGGATTAAAGAATCATGCCCGAAACAGGGCCCCAATTCCCGAGGCGTAGATATTATATCACCTTCGATATCAGAAATTTCCATATTCGATATAATATACAAGGACGTACATTGCATTTTAAAATGCCACAAGTAGTCCCCGCCCCAACTTCCCTAGGCAAGAGCCGTCAATAAAGCGCACTAAAGTAGTCTCTTTCACTCCAAGCATTAAGCAGATTACATCTCGCTCTTTAGCTTCCACGTATCAACGGTGTCAGCAACTGTCAAAATAAGTAAACACTAAATATTTTTAATTTAATTTCTCTCTAGTAGTTCTCGTGTAATTTGTATCTAAAAACACAGATGGGGTTTTTGTCTGGAAAATTGTAAAATAGCAATAGAATTTTTCGTCATCAGTTGATATTCTACTATATAAAAATAAGTCGGGTTTTCCTTCCTGACGCTATAACTCCAGAACGCACGAACCGATTTCCACGGTTTTGCATTCGTTGGAAAGGTCTCGTGGCTCCGTGAGGTTTATAGCAAAGAAAATTCAGGAAAAATTAAAAAAAAAACTTCTTTTAATCACCAAACGAAATGTTACATAAAACGAAGCCATCTGGTGGCGAAACGGAGTTCGCGGGGTTTGCTAGTTTTCTATAGATATCCCTACTTTTGATATTATCTCGAAGCCGATATAATATCTGCGCCGCGAGAAATGGGGCCCAGGCTCATTTTCTATTAAAACCCTGATAAGGTAAAACTTAGTTAAAAACGAGTCGTGATAAAAATCGCTATGGGCAATTTCAACTTATTAAAAGGTGCAAATATTATACAATTGTCTTTTTTGATTTGCATAATACATAAGAGATGTTATTATTAACAAGGTTGTATGAAATTATTTTTAAGTATTTCCTATTTTACATGTGTTGAAAACTCATGGTTTATTTTGTATTTAAAAATACACGATCGTCCATACAATGTTCGTAACAAAAATTCCCCCACGGGGCGTGTGGTTTATAATGTATGTAGATCTAAATTTATTTTGACGAATGGATTTTTGTTAATGATAGCCGCGCTGGAGGGATCAATAATAAAAAAATATTTATAATTTTCTCTGGTTGTTTTATTTTTACGTCTCCACTGTATAAACTATGAAATAAATAACAAATATGTGTATTTACAGATCTCTTGACATATTTTGATGTTACATTCTATACTAATAAATAAAAATGGTGAATTTTCGATCGAAACTGCTGTCCGAGATAATTGAGAAATTCCGAAGCACCTGTTGAGATAATATTAAGTAATTTATTATTTTTACAATTTACTAAAATTTTATTCAATCTTCATCAACCGAATCCTTTGCGAGTCGAAGCAGGCCGACTCCGCTGGCTGCTGCTTAGGTAAAATGGACCTATGTTGAGGGTGGTAGGGTAGTCTCAAGTTCACTTGTCCAGCATATTGAGCACTGTGTTGAGATGGTCGCGGTGGCAGTCCAGTTCGTCGGCTAGAGCGGCGGCAAGCGAGTGCGGCGTTATTTCACACCCCAAGTAGTCTTGCAGTAACACCTGTACCAAAATTATTCAAATTAGTTGCACCATTGAAATGGGAATAATGTTTTAATTTTTACAAGTCTTGTCACGCATTTCGTTTGAGTATTTAACAATGTCAATGCCTTCGGAACCCCCACAAAATCTTAAGTCATTAAGTCAGGCACTTATTATTTTATTTAGGTAACAAACAGTCTTATACAAACAATTTTACAATTTATGTTTACAAATAGACCTAAAGTACTATTGATACATAATTATTATATTCAAGCGGCATAAAAGTGACGGATAACTGTAAACATATGATATACATCGCCGCAAATAATCTTAATTCAAGCACTTATAGAATGGAAATGTCATCGTAATTACTAGCGCGTGCGAGGGGTCGGGGCTGGAAGACAGCGCGTGCATAGAAAAGTGGCCTGTGGATGCGTGGCGCCGCCGTGTCGTAGGAAGACACGGTGCGGGCGAGGGGTCGAGGCTGGAAAGTATGGTTGCTTTCCAATTACAGCATTATTGCGCATTATGCGGCATAATGCTTAACGTTGAGTGTTCCAACTACAGCAACGCTTCGCACAATTGAGCACTCTCAAAAGTGATGCTTTCGTGTGATGCGTGCAATCGTACCAACTTAGAGACAGAAAATTAACAAGTGTTTTTTCTTTAAGTTGGCATTGATCGAAATGTTTTATTTATATGTTATCGTTAGTAATATTATTTATTGTTGAAAAATTATTAAAGCTTTCGTTTCATTAAATAGTTTTTCTTAAATAATCAAAGTTCATTCAAACTGTTAAAAAATAAATATAAGTATGGATGAAGGTACCAACATTGACTTTTTTTTCAACACTAAACTTAGCGCACTCTGCTGGTGCATTTGAAAACTAATTCACGTTCCAATTAAGCATCAGCATAATTGGGCATTGTGCGGCACTGAGTCGCATTATGCTCTGTAATTAGAAAGCATACTATGAGTGGCGCGTGTGAGTATAATGATACCTGCGGATGCGTGGCGCCGCCGTGTCGTAGGACGGCACGGCGCAGGTGGTCGCCAGCGGCGCGGGCGAGCGGTTGCGGTTGGAACGCGGCGCGCCACACGCTCCATGCGGTGGCGCGGGAGATCAAGTACGAATAGTACTTGGCACCGTACCCCACCAGGTGGCTGAACCGGTGTTGCCATGCCTGCGAAAAAGAAGTCAGTAGGGCAACTCCTATCATTCTCGAAAATAATTCATTTGGTCGACACGTGTCGTTAGTGGCAAATAAATTGTCTTGCAAATGTCTCTAAACGAAGCAGAAACAAAGATTTGTACTGAGCTGACTCTCATTATAAAAAGTTACATTTTCAAAAACAATTATCTTTGTGAATAAATTGCATAAGGCGCTTTTTTAGTTGTTTTCCTGAATGAGCGGGTGGGTTTTCCACAATGACTTATTGGCAACTTACATTTATTAGAACAAAGAATCAATTAAAAAAGAAAGAACGGCGATAAGAGAAAGCACAAAAACGTACAAAAACGGATTATATACTTCCAGACACATCTTTCGGCCCTATTAGTTACTACTACTACTTAAGTTTCAACGGTCCGTAGCAAAAATATAATGAAGTTAGGGTTTGGAATAATTAATATATTTTAAAAAATGACAATAAATCAACTTCAAAACTTTCTGCTCAATGTAACATTTATTTTTAGCTAGGGACCGTCAAAACCATATTGGTCAAAACTTAAAATGCTAGGAGTATATATTACAGAGTCTGATATACGGACCGTATTCTCGACGTATGGCAGGCCGTAGTACTGCTGTTGTACGTTTCGTAGCACCTCCGTAGTGGCGGCGGGCGCGCGCGGCCCGTGGTACTGTTGGTCCAGAGCTGAGTAAAACACCTACAAGGAAACAAAATACAAAAATTACATTACAAGTTAATGAAGATTTTTGATTTTGGTTTTTTTTTATTAAAGTGAAACTTTATTTCGGACAAGGTGTAAATAAAAAAATCCTATGGAAAAGATGAAACGGAAATGCGTCACGAGCATCACACGTCTACATATGAAGTGTGGAATGCGCGCGTAGCTCTTCCCGACAAGCATGATAGTTGGAGGGTAACTCGGCGAAGGCTGAAACGTTACGAGCGTCATACGCGGCAATATATACATATGAGTGAAGCGTGCGCTGCCCCATTCCCCTTACCTTATGCTCCGCCTAATGTTAGGTTATTTAAGAAAAGAAGTTTCACATCAGATGTGTGGTCCATGCACACTAATTTTTATTATATACGAGGCGCAGCAAATTGTCCCACCTCACCTGATGTTAAGTGTAAGTGGAGTCCAGTCGCGAAGATAGATGATGCTTCAGAAAGATTGCCCCTCTAGCCATTCTCACCTTGCCGGCCTGAACCCAATCCCCTAAGCCCTGGTATCCTACGTGGCACCAGATTTCTAACTGGCATGCTCGCTCACCGCAAGATAATTGTCCGTTGTAGGCCTCCCCCCAATGTGCGGTTGCTCCGAAGTAAAAAGGGATCTCCTTTTTACTTCGCAACATCTCAGGAGCCATGCAATATGACTCGACGCCCCCCACACAGAGCCGCTGATCCTCGTCCCCACGGCAAACGCGGTTTTTTTAAATTTAATGTCGCACGCGAACGCGATTTTTTTAAATTTAATGTCGCACGCGAGACAGCCTTAATCCCGCTTTTCGGGAATAACTGAACCGTGCGTGCAGCATACTGAGAAAGTGCGGGCGGGTGGCACAGACAAGCGTGGACTGGCCGCACGCCCGGTGCGTAATGAAGATAAATATGCAATAACTTTTGATTATATACGTTTTTTTACTATGTCCCGCTTTCGACGAAAGAATCCCGTTTTTTTCACTCGACAAGTTCCTAATTCCCGCCTTGGCAAAAAAAAAACTGGCAACGCCGAGAGAGAAGGAGATTCTCACCGGCGACGGCGTGGGTATGTCTTCGCGACCTATGCCACTGTTAGTAAAACAAACTAGAAGAGTAATTATTTTCTAAAACCTAAAGACAGATGTACAAACCTGAAGCTGCATCTCGCTGGCGCCGAACAAGTATTTAGAAGCGCAGAGCCGATGCAACATCTTCTCCGGCATGGGCTGCCGCGTCTGGAAGTGGCGCGCGAACCGACTCACCACCTGCCATCAAATATTTATAAAACATTGGCCCTCACAACGTCACATACATAGCTTCGTTCACAAAGTTAAACTACATCTCTTTTACCAAGTTAGAAAGCGATATCTTAAGACAAAAATCTAGTTATGATATGGCAAATAAAAAAATATTAAATATTAGCATAACAAATGACTTCATCCTCACATCTAATAGTTATACTCCTACGAGTTTTTGTATAAATAAAAACATCAGAAGTCGGTTGTAATGACTGGTCATAAGATGGGTGGCCGAAAATGTGCTTCAGAAGGCGGGTTAAGGCATTGGACCCAGCATTATCTGTAGTCATTCGTTAGCGCCCATTATTCCGCACTGTGTTAGCATTGTGGGTCATGGCTCAATATTCCTGTTTCATCGATAAGGAGATCCTGCGCTTTGGCATGTGGGGATCTTTACACCCTAATGACAAAGCCGTGTTCTACTATTATTACTTTTTACACAACTGGCAAAAACAGCGTGTTCAGGGTTCATGTCTGTACAACTCTTTATTCCACCATAACTTCTAAACGCCTAAACCGACTTAGAGGTAGGTATTAGTATGCGGTATCGTTAGAATCCTTTCACCATCCCGGGTATTATAGGATACCTAACTAGTAAAACTGAAATAATAGCAATGACAAAATGACAATTATTTATGTTAATTAAAAAAAACTGGTAGCACGCGCGCGGACCAGCATCGAGTGCATCGCGTGCCCCACCCGTGGGACAGTATAATATAGCATGAGCACGGAGGGCAGCTCGGCGAGGTCGGTGTGGCACCGCGTGCCAGCCACGTGCTGATAGCGCGCGCGGCCCAGCATCGAGTGCATCGCGTGCCCCACCCGTGGGATAGTATAATATGGCACTGACCGCGGGACACGAGGCGAAGTACTCCATGAGCACGGAGGGCAGCTCGGCGAGGTCGGTGGGGCACCGCGTGCCGGCCAGGTGCTGGTAGCGCGCGCGGCCCAGCATCGAGTGCATCGCGTGCCCCACCCGTGGGATAGTATAATATGGCACTGACCGCGGGGCACGAGGCGAAGTACTCCATGAGCACGGAGGGCAGCTCGGCGAGGTCGGTGGGGCACCGCGTGCCGGCCACGTGCTGGTAGCGCGCGCGGCACAGCATCGAGTGCATCGCGTGCCCCACCCGTGGGATAGTATAATATGGCACTGACCGCGGGGCACGAGGCGAAGTACTCCATGAGCACGGAGGGCAGCTCGGCGAGGTCGGTGGGGCACCGCGTGCCGGCCACGTGCTGGTAGCGCGCGCGGCCCAGCATCGAGTGCATCGCGTGCCCCACCCGTGGGATAGTATAATATGGCACTGACCGCGGGGCACGAGGCGAAGTACTCCATGAGCACGGAGGGCAGCTCGGCGAGGTCGGTGGGGCACCGCGTGCCGGCCACGTGCTGGTAGCGCGCGCGGCCCAGCATCGAGTGCATCGCGTGCCCCACCCATGGGATAGTATAATATGGCACTGACCGCGGGGCACGAGGCGAAGTACTCCATGAGCACGGAGGGCAGCTCGGCGAGGTCGGTAGGGCACCGCGTGCCGGCCACGTGCTGGTAGCGCGCGCGGCCCAGCATCGAGTGCATCGCGTGCCCCACCCATGGGATAGTATAATATGGCACTGACCGCGGGGCACGAGGCGAAGTACTCCATGAGCACGGAGGGCAGCTCGGCGAGGTCGGTAGGGCACCGCGTGCCGGCCACGTGCTGGTAGCGCGCGCGGCCCAGCATCGAGTGCATCGCGTGCCCCACCTCGTGGAACAGGTTGTCTACCGCCGCCGCTGAGAGCAATGCTGGCCCGGAGCGGTGCCCGCCGCTTAAGGATAGCATGACTACCACCACCGGGTTCTGTGTGGGAACATAATATTGAAAAAGCTTATTTTGTGGCATAAACCTTGAGCGTACAACTGTAACATAACGAATAAGTTTGTGTGTGAAGTCGACTACGAACGTTACCTTATATCATATAGCAGCATTGTTAAGAACATTGTTAGCAAAATATATATTGTTGCTGTCACTCGCTTAGTAACGTGTGGCAACAGTATCATGCTGAGGCAGGGTTCTGATTAACCACTATATTAATATTATAGTTTTAAGTCATTTTCTAATTTAGTTTTTTTTTATATTAATGTAAATGTGTTGTTTTCATTCTATTTGTAATACTTGTGTCAAATAGTTAATAAAAAATCTCTCCCTCTCTCTCTCCCTCCCTCCCTCTCTCTCTCTCATATAGGTATGGAAAATTTCCACTAAAATTTTAACACAAAAAAAATTACACTTCGCAAAATATCAAAATTAGCTGTTGAGTAAAATTTTATGGTAATGAATCATGTAAAGAGCTAACATTCATATGATGAGAAAAATTGAAAAAAAAAAACTTTGTCATATTGCAGAATTTGCAGACAGCAACATTTTTACACATATTGGTCTCTGTATGACAAAATATCATAACAAATAGTAAGCAACAATACAGATTGTTCAGTTTTGTAAATTACTTGTAAATATTATTTAATATATTATCAGTAATTAGCACAAACAAAAGTAAGTGAGACATATTAGCGCCGCTCATACAGGTCATAGTAGATGTGCCCCAGTGACTCGCTCCCTTCAGCAGCTCTCGCTCGCACCCACCTGGTAAATGCCGCCGAGCAGCCGCTTGCCGGGCTTTATGGTGGAGTGGTAGTCCTGGTACGGCTCGTAGAGGCAGTAGATGTGCCCCAGTGACTCGCTCTCGTGTGATTGGGACAGATATACTCCCCTCGGCAGCTCTCGCTCGCACACACCTGTTAAGTGCCATCGGGCAGCAGCTTGCCGGACTGTATGGTGAAGTGGCAGTCCTGGTGCGGCTCGTAGAGGCAGTAAATGTGCCGCAGTGACTCATTCTTGTGTGAGAGGGACACATATACTCCCCTCACCAGCTCTCGCTCGCACACACCTGGTAAGTGCCGTCGGGCAGCAGCTTGCCGCCCTGTATGGTGAAGTGGCAGTCCTGGTGCGGCTCATAGAGGCAGTAGATTTACCGCAGTGACTCGCTCTCGTGTAAGAGGGACACATATACTCCCTTCGGCAGATCTCGCTCGCACACACCTGGTAAGTGCCGTCGGGCAGCAGCTTGCCGCCCTGTATTTTGAAGTGGCAGTCCTGGTGCGGCTCGTAGAGGCAGTGGATGTGGCGTTGTGACTCGCTCTCGTGTGAGAGGGACACATATACTCCCCCCGGAAGCTCGCTCGCACAAACCTGGAAAGTGCCGGCGGGCAGCACCTTGCCGCCCTGTATGGTGAAGTGGCAGTCATGATGTGGCTCGTAGAGGCAGTAGATGTGCACCAGTGACTCGTTCTCGTGTGAGAGGGACAAACATACTCCCCTCGACAGCTCTCGCTCGCACACACCTGGTAAGTGCCATCGGGCAGTAGCTTGCCGCCTTGTATGGTGAAGTGGCAATCCTGGTGCGGCTTTCCGGGCCGCTCGTATAGGTCGCAGTAGATGTGCCCCAGTAAACCTTCGCTCTCATGCACTACGGCCAGTTTGTATACGTCCGGAGACCACGATTCACCTATCGACAGCATAGACTACATATAAATAACTAGAGACCCAGCCCCGCTACGCTTAAGAGTAGATCTTCTAAAATTCAATAGGGTATTTGACAAGTTTAACAAAATGATCGCACGTTATTTACTAATGTTTATGGAGTCCATGTTGTGTATTTCAGTTAAAATACCTAACGCCGCAAAAACGTTTCTTTGGACAATATGGCGTCTCACTGATATGTGACGTTACACGACTCTCATTAAAACGTCGAACAATACAATGTAATGTCACTTTAACCGGAAGTTTCCTAGTGTGTGACGTCATTTTAGGGTCCACCAATCCTAGGCGTTTTCGGTCACGAGACAATAGATAAGAAAACTATCATCTTTTTCGTGATTTTTTAGTAAAATTTTAAATATTTTTTTCCTGTAAAAATAGTAGAAACCCCTGCCAATATTCATTCTAAATACAGATGCTAACAATTCGCTCTCTATTTTTAATACAGTCAAATACCCTATTCGAAAATAATTTATTCAGTCTAGGTTGTTACAAGCACTTCTAAAGGTCGAGAAGGTACGCCATCGCTTCGCAAATCAACGGCGGGAGACCTTGTACTCAGAAGCTTTCTCTTGCTTGGTTTACACGTATTTGTCCACTATGGCCGTCACCGAGAACGAACGAAGAAGCGACACATACATTTATTATCTATACATATATTAAAATAGTAGGAAATTCAAAACTATACATTGAATATTTTTTTAAAGAATACTTGGGGTGTAATCTACAATCGATACCGAAGCCAAAAATATAGTTTTTATGAATTTTTGTCTGTTTGTCTGTATGTATGTCCGGGATGGACTTAAAAAGTAGTGCATGGATTTACTTCAAATTTGGCACGAATATTCTTTAGAAGTCGGGTCAACATATAGGCTTCATATTATCACGCTATCACCTACGGGGAACGAGCAGTGAACCTTTATTTCTAACTAACTCTACGCATACGAAGTCGTGGGCGGTCGCTAGCATTTATTATAACCGCTTGTCCACCGTAAGCTACATCGCCCGAGTGCCGTCATCCCGGTACACGAAGTTTCGAGTAGATCGATGACCGACGTATAGATAACTCACTCTCTCTCTCTCTGCCAGTTCTTGTATTTTTAGCAATAAGGAAATGAATCCGAAATCGTCGCGGTGAACGAAAAATCGCCGTCACGTTATCTTGATCACGGCCACAAATACCTTTGTTCCCGGTGACGGTAGCGGTGAACAATCACTCATGCAGATATACCAATACATCGAAACCATGCTAAATCTTATACCAAATGGCGGAGTTATTTTATTGACACTTTTATAAAAGCTATTGAATGGGCAAAAATGTTTAATTTTCTCTAGTCCAATAAAGAGTAACATTATAAACAACACACCTGGTAGCATTTCTTCTGAATTCAGACTTATCCCGTACAGCTCTTGGCACAGCATGTTCAGGCCTTCCATACAACCGCCCAGTGAGAAATACGGACTGAAATCCGAGTTGGCAACATTCAGCAGCTGCGTCTTAGCTTTATGCGTGAAGTATGGCGTGTCCCAGCACATGAGCTGATCTTGGTATGGAGTCTCTTGCCGTTTCATCTTGAGCATCGCTTCGAAGTCCATATTGGCACGGTCGTAAAGGTTATCTGATAGTATGTCCAGAAATTGACGCACGTTGGAAGCGGTCTCCATTGTGCTCGCTTTTATTGCCCTGTTTAAAAAATATACAGATAACATTTCAGTGTGCAGTACAACGATATTAAATACCCTAGATACACCACGAGCGCTCAAAATGTGTCCCAATCAAGAAGTGCTTGAACTCCACTCAAGCACTTCTTGGTTCACAGTCACGCGCGGACTGTTACAAGATGCCACAGAGCTCCGCGAAAAAAATACTTAGGAGTACGAAAAGTGTCGTTTTTTCGACAGGTATCTAGTCGATGTTTGTTAATTTAACGTATTTGAAGTAAATTTTGATCTAATACTTACTATAAACTGATTTAATATAAAATATCTGTAATATTCAAATGCATGGTCGGTTATACGTCGCCATATAGCCGTCTCTTTTCCTCGCGGTCCGTGCCTGCTATATTGCTAACAGCACGTTCAGAATTGCGCGTAGAATCAAAGAACTAAGGTCTAAATTCTTCCGCATATATCAATATTGCTATCAATAAGTCGTAAAATTTTACGAGCTTGCATTTCGAACTGTCAGAAGTCCTTGACGCATGCGTTTTTTTTAAGACCATATACAGTATGTATTAAAGGTTACTTTCAGTATTTAAATAATGCCTTATTTTTGACTGATGATTGATTTTGACTACGCGATCATCTTACAGAGCTCCGTGGATCGTTCAATGTACCTTAGTTTCGGGCACGATTTTGTTCGTGTTGGTGTATCTAGAGTATTTAATATCGTTGGTGCAGAAGCTATGTATGAGGTTTTTATAATACTTTGATTTTTCTCTGCAAAACTTTAAGATAAATTGCATTATTATAATCAGATGAGATGTCAATTTACAACAGGACTAAAAAGCTTAAAGAAGACATTTAATTGTGCAAGAAAAAAAAAATAACAAATCGTTTTAATGGCATGGCTCTATATGTGGCCATATATGCGGTACATGGTAAGGTGCGATTCAAACTTAATGGCGATTTTGAGTTATCAACGAGTGCGAAACGGTTTAAAAGTTTCACCTCACATGACATCAGCAATGTCAGTGACGCCTTTTATGTAACACTCTATTTAAGCCTCTCTTGAAGCAAACCATTTTATAGTACTGAGGGTACACCATGGAGGCGAGAATTTGCATAATTTTATTGTCCGTGGAATGGAAGATCCCTGGAAACAAACAGTTGTGGCCTTCGGTGTTACCAGGTAATATGGATGGACTCGACTCCAGTGACGGGTGAAATGGTGCTTGCTGTAGGTATTAACTAGACTTGGAACAATTCCTCGGAGCACTCACCATGAAATAGTCTTATACTATCTTTACAGCTGTCATCACACTAATATTATAAAGGCGGAAATTGTGAGTGTGTATGTTTCTTACTTCTTTACGTCAAATCGGCTAGAGCGATTAAAAAAATATGGTATGGAGTTAGCTGACACCCTGGTTTAACACATAGGCTACGTTTTACTGCGGGAAAATAACCCTAATAAACCGCTGGTAACACCGCGGGGCACAGCTAGTTAAGTTTAAATCGCAATATACCTGTCCGCGTAGCAGTGGAAGCCGCACACGGCCGCCATCTCCTGGCGCGCCGCGAGGGCAGTACACAGCAGCTCCTCTTGTTGCGCGTCGGGCGCGAGGTACAGCCGGTACGCAGCCTCGCGCGCCGCTGCCTCGCCGCATTCCGCGTATACGCCACTCACCACTATGTTATCGCCCTCACTGCTGAAGCTACGACAATATTCTACAAATGACACTGGTAGCATAATAGTTGTGTGGGATCTTTGCCCAATAGGGTATTTGACATGGGTTTTGAAAACGATGTCACGCTTTACTAACGTTTCAGGAATCCATAAAATAGATATTCAGTTTCTGTATTTCAGTAAAAAATCTAATTAAAAAATTCCACTTTCCAATTTGCCACCAAAATGTTTCTTTAGCTGTATCTATTGAATTGTAATAAATGCCTAAGTCTATAGCTATTAGGTTTTTGATTAACCAAGTATTAAATCTTATACAATCATGAGGAAACTGTCAAACGCGATTGGAACTCAGAAGAGTTTCATTAAAGTTTATTTAAATAAACTTTAATTGTTAATAGTTAATTAATTAACAAATGTGTTTTACAAGGAAAATTTTTAATTATCTCGGGTATCAGATAGAAGACAACAAATACACGATCTTTCTGTATCAAGTTGACTGCTGATCCAATTAAATCTTTGAGTAATAATAACTTAACAGTTACTTCATAATGATGTATGTTGTAAAAAAATTTGATTATTCCTTTCCTTATATTACACAACAATGTTACTCAAAGTTAATTATTAGCCAAATATAAGATTCTTTTTAAAAAACCTTATCAACATTCATATCTTTAATAAATAAATGGATATTCATCATTTAAGCGTTTAGTGTAATTTGACCTACGGTTCACTGCCATTATTATTATCATTCACCTGCATTCTCATATAGTAATAGGATTAAATCAAACCTTTGATTTAATCCTATTGCTATAATGAAATTATACTTTTGTCTAATTGACATATTGAAAGCTCTTTTGAATTGTCCATTTTTTTCCTACAACCGATTCACAAAATTTATCTTTTTCATACATTTCTTCTTTGATAAAGTCTCATGTTATGCATCATATATAAAAATCTTATGTGATTATAACAAAACCAAACAATGAATGAAAACATGCATAGGAAATATATACTTACAATTGCCTAATATTAGATGGAACAGCACTCCTTGGAACCCTTCTTGGTTTTGCTGCCCCAGCCATGAATCGTTGCCCTGTTTGCAAGATTAGGTCATTGAGGGCAACCACCCTCTTCCTCGGGCCTTCTTCCAGTTGAATACCGCTCTGTTCAAAGTCAAAGAGGAAAAGTTCTGCCAAGTGCTGATCACCAGATGTCCCACGTTTCACAGAATCACGCAAAGCCTCATAGAGACCCTTATGTGTATTTAACCTAGTAAAAATAATCTAATTGTTGTAAATGATTGATATTATATTCCACTCAGTCCCGAAGAAATTCAAACCAGCATCTTCCGCACATTGCTAACCTACAATGCAAAGAGACGGAGCCGCCTTGCAGCCTACCAAATACTAGAGAAAATTTAACAGGCCCTTAAGATCTCAATAGCTGTTGGTTAGTGCGTCCACCTGGATAGCAGAAGATGCGGGTTCAAATACCATCTGAAAAAAGGACTCAGCAGATTTCTTTTCTAGTAAAATTTTATATTTATTGGCATTGCTATATTTAATGTAGTTTTATACATTATATCTATTTAAATTACAAAATTAAACAATTTGGTGTGTGTGATTTATATTAGTACAAATTTAATTTAATTAAAATTATATATATTTTTACTCACTTTTCTACAACTCCACTAACACTAATGCAAGCATCTTCAGCAGCAGCTGCAAAGTGAGGCTGTGGATGAGCAATCCTAACAAACTCAGCAAGGTCTGCTACTTTACACAGAGTATCTGACAACTCATCAAATATCTCCACCATGGGCCTTTTGGGATCATTTGTAGCCTCCTCAATCAGACGATCAGTAGCTGCTATGGCTTGTTCCTTTAGTGTGTAGAAACCCTCAAAAGTCGTCAGCTCTGGCTTATTAAATAAACCCTAAAATGAAAAGAGGTTGACTAACTATTCAAATTTTACTGTAGTACAGTGGTCAATGTCATTTTATTCTCACCGTTCTTTCCCTTAGCGAATCAAAGATTGGCCTAGATGTTGGTCTGGTATTAAATGCAGTGGCCAGTGGTGACCAGGTGGTAACATTACGAGCTGATTTTCTCCGTCTGGCATGTCTCAGTATCCACAAAGGTTTTAACATCTTCATATTGATAAGAATTTTAGAGCCTTAAAAAAAAAATTTAATTTTACATTGGTAATTTAAATTGATCTTTAAAACTACTAATTTTCATGTTTCGTACATACCTTTAGCAAACAATATTTACATAACTTGGAGATTTTTGTAGAGAAGATACGAAGGTAATATAATTTAAAGTATAGCTCCTCTCTTGAATTAAACCACAAAATATATCTGATCTCTGCTCTGAGTACTATCTAAAATGAAGTTAAGTTCTAACAATATCCTCCATAGATTTATGAATTCAAAAACAAGTAGTATATAAAAAAGTAATGTTGGAAAATATAGGAGAAACTATAACAGTACCAATGCTGTATTCCATTAAAAATTAAATATATTTATTTATGAAAAATTATAAAAGTTAATAATATAACCTCCACTTCCACTTCCACTACAGATTAGGGAGCACAGAAATCACAGATAACATATAAATAAAATAGAAATGTCAATGTAGAATACAGGTCACAGCACTAAAGCCTATGTTAGACGGATGTAATCCAGCGTACAAACCAAGGTGACCTTAGTGGGATCTTGGGTGGTTTTCCAATTACAGAGCATAATGCGACTCAGTGGCGCGGCGTACAATGCCGAATAATGCTGATGCTTAATTGGAACGTGAATTATTTTTCAAATGCACCAGCAGAGTGTGCTAAGTTCAGTGTTGAAAAAAATAGTCAATGTTTGTACCTTCATCCATATTTATATTTAATTTTTAACACAGTTTTAATTAACTTTCATTATTTCAAAAAAACTATAATGAAACGAGTTTTAATAATTTTTCAACAATAAATAATATTACTAACGATAACATATAAATAAAACAATTCGATCAATGCCAACTTAAAGAAAAAACACTTGTTAATGTTCTGTCTCTGAGTTGGTACGATTGCACACATCACACGAAAGCATTACTTTTGAGAGTGCTCGATTGTGCGAAGCGTTGCTGTAGTTGAAACACTCAACGTTAAGCATTATGCCGCATAATGCGCTTTAATGCTGTAATTGGAAAGCTACCTTGGTTTCCATCCACGTTATGATTTTCGGCTACACGGATGTAATCCATGCGCAAACACGCAATCGCGAATCGTCTTCTGGCGTGGCAGTTTTGTGTACAATAGACGATGAAAAAAACAAAAAAAGAAAAATGGATGAAGCGTTGGTTAAAAGAGCGAACGCTTAGATCCGTCTAGAATAGGCTTAACTCTAGGGCTGAACAAAAGGCGGAGGGGATAGTTGCGCATGGATAATACTGGAGACTTTCGTTCATAATGGATATTGTGAAATAAAATTCGTGTGATTTTGTATTACAACCATCTGCGCAACTGAAAAATTAGTGAAATCTTCAAAATATACGCTATTCCGGTCAAGTGGACGTGAGAACTTTATTGTAGTATTGACTACCACACAGAAGCTTATCAAAAAAACCAACTCTATACATTTCGTGCTAAATACTCCAAGAAACATTACAATGCGTCACACTTACATTCTAATGTAAAAATAGGAAATTAAGATTTGTATTTATGTATACGACTGAAGGACTTGAATCCAAGGTCATGAATAATAAAAAAAGCAATGCAAGGTCAATGTATCCATTGCCAATAAATAAAAAAAAGCAAGGCTAGGTACAAAATTTATATTTGTATTCTACTTGCTTGCTTGTTGCTGCTTATTTTCATTGAGTGAATAAATGTCGTGTGAATTTAATTAAATGGTTTCAATTCATAATTTATTAATGAAAAATGATGAGGTAGCTCAATACAGACTATAATTCTGTAATTCTCCTTACTCATTGACTGACAAAAAACTAAAAATGGTGAGTTCATGTGTTAGTGCTTTTGTTTTGCGTGTTTCTTGTACTTAGTAGTAAGTAATTTCATTAATTATCTCAGTCTACCCCACCGCCGTCAACACAGCAACGTCGTTCAACTGAAGAAACCAAGAAAAGTACTCCACCGACTTCTAGTATCGTTACCAGAAATGGAGCTCGCAAGGCTAAAATTCAAACACGCGCTATGTCTGCTGGAGCCAAAGTAAATAAAACCTATATTGTTCTATTCTAATTTCATTTTAACTAACAATAACACTGTAAAAATTTGTTTCGTTGAGTATGTTTATTATTTTGGAATCCTTAAAAACTAAATGACTATACTGACAAAGAAACTACTCGTTTTCCATATTAAGCAAGTTGAATCGAATTTACGTAGGTGTGGAACATTATCAATTATTTCACTCCCACATGGAATGTTCAAATGAAACTGTCAATAAATTCTGTTATTTTCTTTAAAAAATCCTTGAATATGCACTAAATTATGATTGGCTGACTAAGAAAACAGATAAGGCAGCTATAAATTGCTGTTATCTATTTATATTCCATAAAAGCTGCTTTAGTCTTATCTATTATTTTACTGTCATGTGTAAGGTGACTTCAGCTCACAACGAAATTAAATTTTATGATAATGATTGTTTTATTTTAGCCTTCAGCATCAGTGCTTGCTGCTAAAAAGAAGGCCAAACAGAAGAAAAAACAAACTTTTGATACTATTCTGAGAGATCACTATCAAACTGTAAGTCTTTTTACTGAGAACTGTTTTTAAATAGTTATTGTTGTGGAATCAGAGTATATACTATGATTCTACAACAATTACCATATTATATTTTGTATGTATTTATTCTCTGGAGAATATTTTAGAATATTCTAGCAACCAGTGATCATAGATCATAGCTCCTACAGGATTATGGTGTGTTAATATTTTTAACTTGTTCAATTACAAAAAAAAATATGAAGTACTAGAACAAACTAAAATGAATAAAATAAAAAGAATTGTAATGATACTAAACACTAAAATATTATGTATTAAGTTAAATGGTGCAGATTGGCTTTACAGGTGATGGAGTCCAAGAATAAAGTGAAGGGACCAACAGGATTTGTGACTGAACCTCGTATGGCTGAACACCATTGTCTGTGGGATGCGAAGTATCCAGAGTGTCCAGAACGATTAATAAGTGTTATTAACAGGTAACTAAATTCTATTTATTTCATTTGTTTTCTAATACTCGTATACATAGCTACCCTTCTTGCGAATAACATTTGTAGCTTATAGAGCATATTGATAGAGTAAAAATCTAGCGATCACTATTTTGTAGTACTTATATCATGTCACTAATAGCAGAGTGATGATGCTTTTTATTTTGCAAAGAATTTAATTGGTATTTGATATTATTCAATGAACGTAAAAATAAAACATTTTATTTATTTGCAAGAAAAGTGGTACAAAAGGTGTTACATTATTTGTTAAGACACGCACAATTCACCAGAATCTGGCATACAAATTTTATAAATATCTAAAAATAAAAGTGCTCTATCTATAAGCTGTCCAAACCAAGGGGTGAAAAAAAAATAGTAGATTACTGTCATCTTTTACATAAACCCATAAACTCCTCAACAGAATAAAAAAAGTTCCCAATCAACCAAGTTTTAAGTTTCCTCTTGAACGTAATCACTAGTCTTGTTTTGCTCTTAATTGTTATGACTTACTGTAGATACTTATGTGAATCCAGTATTGTGGTTTTGAGCATTAGTAGAAAAGATTTTGTCTTGGTAAATACTATAGATACGAAAAAATCATAGATATATTATTCATTCTATTTTGCTTAATGGTAATTAATAATTTGGTAGGAGAGAAGTCTTAGGGGCTCAGATACCCTCCCTCCCTCTAGATCTTTCACCATGTTTATCCCAACAATTCTCTGTATTTTTTTATATTTTACCATAATTTCTTTCTCTCCGATCAGTATATAAAATGAAAACAACATATTATAATTATAAAAACATATATAAATAGTCAAAAAATAATTATGGGTTATTTTTAGGTGCAAAGAATTGAATTTGATTGAGCAATGTGTCAATATTCCACCTCGACCTGCTACAAAAGAAGAATTGTGTGTGCTTCATTCACCGTCAGTTTATGAGATGCTCAAAACAACCCACAAGAATGATGACATTGAGTATTTAGAGGAGGTATCTGCAAAATATGACGCCATCTACATACATCCTGTAAGTTAGCTTGTTTAAATATAGTTTATTATTATCTAATGCCTTATCATATCTAACTGTTGACTTAGTGAATTACTAGAATTAGTTTATATTCAGATAGAAATGGGTCTAAATAAAACCAATGTGTATATTAAAGTATGGAATTAGGGCAGGGCTGGCAGTAAGAGCTATTTGAAAAAGACTTTCTGTGTAACAACTTGAAAAAGATTTTCTGTCTTAGAATTGGAAAAAGACTGTCATTTATCACTTATGCAATCTAGGTTGTCATAGCAAGCAATACTACTTCTTAAGTCTAGTGTTAGAAGTCTTAAGACATGTTTTTTAAACATATAACTTGAGTTTTAAATCTGAAAGATATTTACTGGAAAAAAATCTACCAGACCAGTCACCTTTATTAGCAGTATCTCAAGTTTTGACGCCTTTATTTATAATCGAAATAGCGGTATCTCGCAAAATAGGTGTAATGGTACAGTTTATGCAAAATTCATGCAAATCAATAAATAGTATGATAAAAACAATGTTAAAAAGGTTTTAACATCTTTAAGAAGATTTGTTTTAAAGGTGCGAAAACATAATTTACAAAAAGGATTTTCGGTTTATCAGGGGGGTGATGTATATATATATTTCTTCATTTTAAAAACTGCTAGGTTTTGCATATAAAGACGATAAAACGACACCTCGGCAAGTATATTTTTTTCTCCAATTTGTCCTGTTCTATTGTAGAGCACGCACGAAATCGCGCTACTAGCAGCGGGCTCTACCATCGACCTCGTAGACCGGGTAGTGAGCGGAGAGTTTCAGAACGGGGTTGCGTTTGTGCGTCCTCCAGGACACCACGCCATGAAGGCGGAGCCCTGCGGTTACTGCTTCTACAACAACGTGGCGTTGGCTGCCAAGCATGCTATACATAAACATGCACTAAACAGGTATGTCTATTGCATGATATACTTATATGCACATTTGACAACCTCCATGGTCGAGTGGTTTGTACGCCGCACATTGTGTTATTTCACCTCAAAATTACCACTCCCTTGATTAAAGGTGAATCAGATAAAGCTCTTCATTCTAAGCGCAAGAGTAAAACTCCCACGATTCTAACTATAATAGTTTCGACGAAATCCCGGTTTTTCTTTTTTTGGTCCACATTGTGAAAAAGAAATAAAAAAAATATTTTGTCTAAACTATTACAGTTATTTTACTTTTTACATTGTATTTCAAAAGGTATTATTTTTATCCATATTATGAGTCTTCTATGGCTGCCCTAGAGCTTGTAGGAACCGAGAAATCGGCGATTTAGTGATTTTCGTTTTTAATTTTTTGTGCTCATGTTATGCAATATTAAAGTTTATAATTTAGTTCAAAATGTAGCTAATAATGTAGACTATCAACTCAAAAAATAACAAGCTTTAACTCGGTGGTATATCGGAAATATTAAGAATTTAAATTTGTGGGACAATGTCCCACATTTTGAAGACTTAATTTTGAAAACGTAGTTATGCTACTTTTTAAATATTATACTATAATAACTATATAAATACGTTGTTATTATATTATTTACTATTTATATAAGATTATAAATGTGTTTGGTATGTTTGTTACATAATGATCCAGTTTTGTGGGCCAACTTGTTTGGATGAAATGTGGCACACAGGCATTAAGTTCTTCCCTATTAAGTGCAAATAAACAAATTAATCTGTTTAAACATTATCTGTCGTAAACACATTGTCTTCGTTATGAAGAACAGTTGTGAATTCATTTTCTTCACTTTCTATGCATGCAGTTTCGTCGTCGACATCACTTTTATCGTCATATAAACATCCCGAACTGTCTTTTTTTCGTTTTGCAGTAATTTGTCCTATGTCAGAATTTTTTATTACTCGCCACTGTCTGACTTTTGGGTCATTTTTTCACTTGGGATACAAAAATGACCCAAGAGTCAGACAGTGGCCAGTAATAAAAAAATCTGACATAGGACAAATTACTGCAGAACGAAAAAAAGAAATCCAAAATCAAATTAAGCAAAGTATGGGTCTATTGGTAGACGTTTTTAAGCCTAACTCAGGGACCACGAATGATGGTAATATGGCTCGTCGAGTATTCAAAAGTGAACAAAGCCGCCAGACGTTTGCCAATATACTTGATATTGAGAAATGGCTCGTAGATGATTTAAATGTAATTTTAATAGCCATCGATTCGGGATTACCAATAGACGCCCAAAAATTCGGTACTTTTTGTAAAAATATAGCTAAAAAATACGTAGAAAACTACAACTGGCACCCTATGACTACTACCCTTCACAAAATCCTAATTCACGGAGAGAAAATTATAGAGAATTCAGCGCTACCCATTGGACTACTCTCCGAACAGGCAGGAGAATCCAGGAACAAGTTTTGGCGTCAGGACAGAGAACATCACAGCCGGAAAGATTCTAGGGTTCATACCATGACCGACTTATTTCACAGGGCGCTCGAGTCATCCGACCCTGTGATATCGGCTATACGGCTAAAACATCGTGAAAATAACCGAATGAGAATGCCACTGCCACAGGCTGTAATAAATTTATTAAAACCGGACAGTTCGGGATGTTTATATGACGATAACAGTGATGTCGACGACGAAACTGCATGCATAGAAAGTGAAGAAAATGAATTCACAACTGTTCTTCATAACGAAGACAGTGTGTTTACAACAGATAATGTTTAAACAGATTTATTTGTTTATTTGCACTTAATAGGGAAGAACTTAATGCCTGTGTGCCACATTTCATCCAAACAAGTTGGCCCACAAAAGTGGATCATTATGTAACAAACATACCAAACACATTTATAATCTTATATAAATAGTAAATAATATAATAACAACGTATTTATATAGTTATTATAGTATAATATTTAAAAAGTAGCATAACTACGTTTTCAAAATTAAGTCTTCAAAATGTGGGACATTGTCCCACAAATTTAAATTCTTAATATTTCCGATATACCACCGAGTTAAAGCTTGTTATTTTTTGAGTTGATAGTCTACATTATTAGCTACATTTTGAACTAAATTATAAACTTTAATATTGCATAACATGAGCACAAAAAATTAAAAACGAAAATCACTAAATCGCTGATTTCTCGGTTCCTACAAGCTCTAGGGCAGCCATAGAAGACTCATAATATGGATAAAATAATACCTTTTGAAATACAATGTAAAAAATAAAATAACTGTAATAGTTTAGACAAAATATTTTTTTTATTTCTTTTTCACAATGTGGTATAAAAAAAGAAAAACCGGGATTTCGTCGAAACTATTATAGTTAGAATCGTGGGAGTTTTACTCTTGCGCTTAGAATGAAGAGCTTTATCTGATTCACCTTTAATCAAGGGAGTGGTAATTTTGAGGTGAAATAACACAATGTGCGCCGTTGTAATATTTCGTGACAGAAATATTTATTAGGACCTTTACAATTCCGTCAACATGTACACGCTACCTAGAGGAGTATTGCACTCCATTGCTTGTCTCTTTGTCTTCTGCAGTTGTTAAGTCCACAAATGTCAAATATGATTGGCGTACGACGCCGTTTGCAATAATTATCTACACCTTCTAATAGAGTTATTAATTTTGCGCCACCTATATAAAGAATTCATTCTAGAAAATTCGGAGCAAACAATACTAAATAGTTTATAAACATGTCCCAAGTGGACGACTGCTTATCCATAGGTCGCTGGTTCATATCCGGCTCGAAGGACCATGAAGGAAAACAGCAACTGTACATTTGCCTGGTAATAATAAAAAAAAAGTTTGCGTTAAGTACTTGCACGTTCAATCGATCTCCATAAAACAAAGGAAAAAGGAAATAGTATACAATGTTGTCAACATCAATATATAATATTGCCACAATAATATTGGTAATTCCAACTCAAAGACATTATATCTCTTTATATTGCAATAATTAGAAAATGTATTGTTGCAGAATATTAATTGTGGACTGGGACGTGCATCACGGGCAAGCGACGCAACAGATGTTTTATGAGGACCCACGGTAAGGATTGTTTCTAAATATCATATATTATATTCAGTTTTAATTACAACATATCTCAAATTTCAGACCAGTCGCCTACTGTAAAATACGCGTCGACTTGAAAACCTCCTCCGTTTTTTTCGTCGGTTAAAAACCTCAAAATCGGTTCACGCAGCTTGTAGATATTCGCGGACAACAATGAAAAAAAAAAGATATATACTGACGAATTGAGAAACCTTCTCTTTTTTGAAGACGGTTAAAAAAAGATGGATTAAATCGGTCGTCGTTCTCAAGTTTTTGCGTGACCGCGTTGTTTTTTATATATAAAGACGTATGTATCATACTGGAGAACCTTGATGGCGCAGTTGGTTAGCGCGTTCTGTCTGCGGACACGAAAGTTACGCAATCTCCGATTCGTTCGGATTTGAATGGGTGACCATTAAGGCTTCGGTAGGCACGTCAACTCAGTTAGTTCTGGCTGCATCTGCAGTCGTCATCAATTCGCACGGGTCCGCGTGGTGAGTCATCGCCCATTCGCACTATGCCATTCATAATTAATTCCTGTGCTCCAGCAGTGGGGTATACTTCTCGATCCAGTGACCAAAACTTAATTATCTCTAGCTCCTTCGTGCTTCGGAAGGCACTTCCAGGCCTTGGTCTCGGCTGCATCCTGCATCTGCGCTATCTAATGGATGCTATCCACACGGGCCTTCGTAGTGTGTCATCGTTTATTCTCCCTATGCCATCCATAAGATCCGGTGGCCAAAACTTCATTATTTCCAGCTCTTCCGTGCTTCGGAAGGCACGTCCAGGCGTTGGTCTCAGCTGCATCCTGCAACTGCTCTATCTCTTATGGATGCTATCAACCAATACGCACGAGGCCGCGTAGTGTGTCATCGCTCAATTTCCCTATGCCATTCATAAGATCCGGTGGCCAAAACTTCATTATATCTAGCACCTCCGTGCTTCAGAAGGCACGTCCAGGCGTTGGTCTCAGCTGCATCCTGCATCTGCTCCATCTCTTATAGATGCTATCCACCAATCCGCACTGGGCCGCGTAGTGTCTCATCGCTCATTCTCCCTACGCCATCCATAAAGAAGTCCTGTGCCCCATATTAAATAGACTGTAATGATAATGTATCATACTTGCACCAGGGTGGTATACTTCTCGATCCATCGCTACGAGCACGGGTCGTTCTGGCCGAATCTTCGCCAGTCTGACTTCCATTACGTGGGTGCTGGGAGAGGCCGCGGGTACAACTTTAATGTGCCGCTCAACGAGACTGGCATGGGGGATGCTGACTATTTAGCCATATGGTATCAGCTGCTACTGCCTATGGCATTTGAGGTGACTACCGTTTAATACATGCTTCTTTTATCTTAGACTTATAGTAGGAGAGCTAGTAATCTGAGTAACGGTATGTCTGTAAGGTTAGAAATTCTTATGATGATGAGTCATGGTATGCTTAGTACGGTAAGCATAGTCTCTCACGCCTCAGCCCTGCTCGTCATCAAGCCCGTAACTTTTGAAACTGTCGAAAAAATATAATAAAAAATGGTGCTGTAATCTTGAAATTATTATACAATTTAATTTATTCAATTAAAAGTTTAAAAAGAAATTACAGGCGTTTTCGTTACCGTTACTCCGAGGGTTTAGTAGCTCTTGGTCTTTTATCACCCTCCATACAATTATATTAACCGACGAATTGAAAATGATATGGAAGCATTACTCTCTATAACATAAACCGCTAAAACATGGTTCCAAACTCATATAGCTATAATTCAATATTAACGCGACACGCACACAGAGAAAACAAAATACTTTGACAAATCAAATATCTGCAAATGAATTCGGCTATCCGATCATTGGGTAAGATAATGTAAAACGGAAATCCCAACAAATCCCACTCTCGGCGTGTTGATAGCATTTTTTTCGCCCCACCCACTTGATCGCAGTTTGCGTGGAACCACTTTTTAGCATAGTTCATATTTCAGATTATTTCTAATTCGTTGGCTATAACGCGATAAAATTTAGCCTTTTTAATACTGACGATGTAACTCAGCCCTTAGTATGATCACCAAAACGCGATATGTCGACTTTTGCCTGTCAAACTACAATGGAGTTTGACAGTTGAGTGACAATAAAAAGCTTTATCGCGTTTCGGTGCTCATGCTACGGGGGCACAAATAATGTAGTATTATACAGTCGCATAAATTGAAGCCATTTGTACAAACAGTCACAAGACAATTTAAGCAAACCTTCAAAAAATCTTAAATTTGTGCTTTAAATGCTAAGCATAAGATTCGCTAACGATTTGTGTCAATATCCTTAATCAATTTCTTTATTTTAGAATTGGACATCGTAATTCGATTCTTAATAATTCATATTTCAAGAATGGTAAAATAAATTCATGGGGAGATCGTTATGATGTCAAATAATCAAGTAGATTTCTGTAAGCAATCATACTTTGCTTATTTAAAATTTTAGTGCCATCTACTAAATATTTATACATCTATTGCTCATTTGAATATTGTAAAGCTTTTTTTTTCTAAATGTTGATTTTTGTTCACCCCAGTATCAACCGGAGCTGATCATAATATCGGCAGGCTACGACGCTGCGATCGGCTGTCCCGAGGTACTCCATCCCTTACTGTTTCTACGCATTATTTATAGTGTTGTCTCTTTCAGTTCTCGCCTGAAATGGTTATCGTGTCCGCTGGCTATGACTCGGCCTTAGGGGACGAAAAGGTGAAACTTATTTTGTATTGTTTTATCAATTTTAATTTAATGAGAGCGAGGGGTTATTCGTGAAATTTCTTTTATTTAGAGTATCATGACGCGATTACATTTCGTTGTTAGCATGAATACGAGTGCCAATGGAATTCAGGTAATCGACTAAGACTGAATGAACGGAGTCGAGTAGAGAGTTCTACTTTGTTATAGCTAGGTCTAAGGCAAATAAATGTGTTACCCCACCTGATGTTAATCTAGATACATTTCTATTTTGTTATAGCTAGGTTTAAGGCAAATAAATGTGTCTACCCCACCTGATGTTAAGTGGTGGTAGAGTCCAGACGCGTAGATAGTTGGTTCAGCAGTTAGAAAGTGCTACACTATTTGCACCTTACCGGCCTGCAGAAATGCTTCTTCACGTCTCCCTTAAAGGATCCCAGATTGTAGGAAGGAGGGAACACGTACGCGGCCTAAGAATTCCACTTGCGAATAGTGCGACAAACAAATGTCACTATTTTTTATTATTTTGGGTGTGCAGGGCGAGATGGAGGTGACGCCTTCGTGTTACGCCACCCTCACGCACTTGCTGATGTCGGTGTGCTCCCGTGTGGTGGTGGTGCTGGAGGGGGGCTACTGCTTGCAGTCCCTGGCGGGGGGCGCCGCCCTCACGCTGCGCGCGCTGCTGGGCCGCGCCCCGCCCCCGCCCGCGCCCGCGCCCTCGCCCCGCCTGCAGTGAGTGTGTTACTACTGCCTGCAGTCCCTGGCGGGGGGCGCCGCCCTCACGCTGCACGCTGCTGGGCCGCACCCCGCCCCCGCCCGCGCCCGCGCCCTCGCCCCGCCTGCAGTGAGTGTGTTACTACTGCCTGCAGTCCCTGGCGGGGGGCGCCGCCCTCACGCTGCACGCTGCTGGGCCGCACCCCGCCCCCGCCCGCGCCCGCGCCCTCGCCCCGCCTGCAGTGAGTGTGTTACTACTGCCTGCAGTCCCTGGCGGGGGGCGCCGCCCTCACGCTGCGCGCGCTGCTGGGCCGCGCCCCGCCCCCGCCCGCGCCCGCGCCCTCGCCCCGCCTGCAGTGAGTGTGTTACTACTGCCTGCAGTCCCTGGCGGGGGGCGCCGCCCTCACGCTGCACGCTGCTGGGCCGCACCCCGCCCCCGCCCGCGCCCGCGCCCTCGCCCCGCCTGCAGTGAGTGTGTTACTACTGCCTGCAGTCCCTGGCGGGGGGCGCCGCCCTCACGCTGCACGCTGCTGGGCCGCACCCCGCCCCCGCCCGCGCCCGCGCCCTCGCCCCGCCTGCAGTGAGTGTGTTACTACTGCCTGCAGTCCCTGGCGGGGGGCGCCGCCCTCACGCTGCACGCTGCTGGGCCGCACCCCGCCCCCGCCCGCGCCCGCGCCCTCGCCCCGCCTGCAGTGAGTGTGTTACTACTGCCTGCAGTCCCTGGCGGGGGGCGCCGCCCTCACGCTGCGCGCGCTGCTGGGCCGCGCCCCGCCCCCGCCCGCGCCCGCGCCCTCGCCCCGCCTGCAGTGAGTGTGTTACTACTGCCTGCAGTCCCTGGCGGGGGGCGCCGCCCTCACGCTGCACGCTGCTGGGCCGCACCCCGCCCCCGCCCGCGCCCGCGCCCTCGCCCCGCCTGCAGTGAGTGTGTTACTACTGCCTGCAGTCCCTGGCGGGGGGCGCCGCCCTCACGCTGCACGCTGCTGGGCCGCACCCCGCCCCCGCCCGCGCCCGCGCCCTCGCCCCGCCTGCAGTGAGTGTGTTACTACTGCCTGCAGTCCCTGGCGGGGGGCGCCGCCCTCACGCTGCACGCTGCTGGGCCGCACCCCGCCCCCGCCCGCGCCCGCGCCCTCGCCCCGCCTGCAGTGAGTGTGTTACTACTGCCTGCAGTCCCTGGCTGGGGGCGCCGCCCTCACGCTGCACGCTGCTGGGCCGCACCCCGCCCCCGCCCGCGCCCGCGCCCTCGCCCCGCCTGCAGTGAGTGTGTTACTACTGCCTGCAGTCCCTGGCGGGGGGCGCTGCCCTCACGCTGCACGCTGCTGGGCCGCACCCCGCCCCCGCCCGCGCCCGCGCCCTCGCCCCGCCTGCAGTGAGTGTGTTACTACTGCCTGCAGTCCCTGGCGGGGGGCGCCGCCCTCACGCTGCACGCTGCTGGGCCGCACCCCGCCCCCGCCCGCGCCCGCGCCCTCGCCCCGCCTGCAGTGAGTGTGTTACTACTGCCTGCAGTCCCTGGCGGGGGGCGCCGCCCTCACGCTGCACGCTGCTGGGCCGCACCGCGCCCGCGCCCTCGCCCCGCCTGCAGTGAGTGTGTTGCTACTGCCTGCAATCCCTGGCGGGGGGCGCCGCCCTCACGCTGCGCGCGCTGCTGGGCCGCGACAAATCAAAACTTGACTGTCACATGCTGAGCCACATACCTTTTTGTTTCTATTAATATTTACTTTCCTTCTATTTGTATATTGTACCAAGTGTATATTGATACAAATAAATAATTTATTATGATTATTAATACCAGCCATTGTAAAAGTTGCCTAACTTGCAAACCGCTCGCGCCATCGACCTCCTCATTCTCTGCGAATATAAAAAAATATCTTGTCTCTATTCATAGGATCCGCGAGACTATCCTGAACTGCATCTACGCACATAAAAAGTACTGGAACTGCTATAACTACCAGCTCACATATAGCATGGATAAGAGCGTTCCGAACGTATGCGACGGACAGAAAGAGAAGCACATTGTTTCGGTACGGTGGGAGGGAGACGAAACGAGACCGGAGAGATTCGCCACACGCGACTGCTATCCGTTGCAAGACGACAATACTAAGAGGGAGATCATGGACAAGCTGAACCGGTTAGAGATGCGTGAGTGTGCTTTTTATGTCAATTATTTTTTATGTTAAATCTTTCCTCTCGCTTTCATGCAATTTGTAGGAGTGATTACACCTAATCACTCCTACAATACACATCAACTAAAAAAATACAGTAGAAATCACCAATGAATTTCCTAATTTCAGTAACCGACCTGTCTTTGCCCCAACACGAAGTTGGGTACGTTTATGACCCAGCGATGTTGAAGCACAGGAATATTTGTGAACCGTGAGTAACATTGATATTCACCCATCAGCATACACGAAACCACCGAGCACAGAAAGAGGTTAGAAGGGTGATCATAGACCGATTTTACGGACACCGATGTCGCCGACTCGCCCCTACTACACTTCCAATTAAAAGATAATAGCCAATTAAACGACACGACATCAAACAATCGAACCAATTAGCGCTCACACCCGAGAGCAACGACACAATTAGAATTTTGGTCAAGTTATGAGCATTTGCTCACACAAAGAAGTTTTTTTTTTCTACTTTTTAGAGATCATTATTATTAAAATATTAGGGTGATCAATAATTCAAAGTACCACGTCTTTTAGCACGGAGAGCGGGAATTTCTAATACAAGTATTTATTTACTTAAAAGGAATTCCCAATCGCAATACAATATAGTAAATTATTGTATCAAATAAAGAATTTGTGTTTTGTTGTATATAACTGGCGCGCCTGCTCTGCCCACAAAGCCTTTCTGACCTCTATCTGTGTTCTGTGCACGGAACTCTAAACTTTATGTCTATAGCATTTGGGTACACTTTCAGCGGGCACGTGGAATGTCCGGAACGTATAATGCGTATTCATGAAAGGCATCGGGACTTTGGCCTTCTAAGCCGCGTACACATGGTCACGCCACGACTGGCTACTGATGAGGAAATACTAGCTGTTACGTCAGAGAAACATTTGCAAAGGTAATTGTTTTCAGTTTTTCTTGATGCAGATGAGGTATCAAAAGCGATAAGAAACATTAGTGTATTGAAGTTGTTTTATTATTTTTATTTATCTTTATTTGGGAAACAAACGATAAATACTACTTATTCCTAGATCTAATTAACAAAACATACATCAGTAAAGTTTCCACTACAACATCCACAGGAGTTCAAATTGTTAAAATCGACAAAGAAAAAAATACAAGTCAGTGCATTCGCCGCGATAGGGAAAGTTACGGGTTCGAGTCCCGTCTGCTTCCTGGTCCGCGTAGACTTTTTCTAAGTAATATTTTCTTTAGATTTAAACTTGGAGCAGTAACATGCTTAAAAAAATATATAACTTAACTTTAAGTGTCTCACAGACAGACGATTTTATGATATTGACGATTTTTTTATTTTATTTTTTTCTTTAAATATTGGTCAGTTTTAATGTATTTTTTTTACTGGTATGCAATTATTATGTTTGATGATGTCCATTGTATTAAAGACTTTATTTGCTTTCTTTGACTTTTCTCAGGCTAAAAGAACTGTCAACGACGAAGTTAAGAGATTTGAACAGTCAAAAAAATGCCTTTGACTCCGTGTACTTTCACCCTGATTCACTGGAGAGTGCTTCCATGGCAATCGGCTGTGCAATAGAGGTAAAAATATACATTTACACATTCCAGCTACCTCAGATGACAAAATTTTTGTGTGAGCGATATTTTAGCTTTCTTTTCCTTTCGTTCAAAGTGTCGATTCTGCTTAGTTTAAATAATATTCGTGTGATGCTTCAGCAGTTAACCTTTTCGCCACAGTTATCATAAAATACAAATAGCATTGAATACATTTTGCTTTTTTATGAAGATCTTCTTATAAATTTATATTTATGCAAGGCAATTTTACAAAGGTGTGACGTAATTTTAGACTCTGCCAATTGTAAACATTTTCGGTCATGTGAAAATAGATTACAAACTTATATTTATTTCATGATTTTTAGAAAACAATAATCTTTCAGAATATTAAAATTGCTGCGAATATTCATGTTAAATATATATTATTATTAGGCTAACATTGGTACTTTACTTTACATAATGTCAAATAATCTATTTTTTTCTTCTTCTCGAATTGTGGAGTTAGCTAGTGTTTGTATAATAATACGTTAGTTTTAGTTCACTGATTGCGTTTACTGCGCCGAAACTTCCGCAGTCACTAAAATGTTTGAATGAGGAAGACAACTGACAATTTATCCCGCCAGAGGCGCAGGTGTCGAATGGCCTATATTAACTAATCGAGACAGCTATCAAAGTCACCAAGAAAACAGTCCGGTAGACCAGGGCCGCGTTCCAAACCTACGCTCCAGGTGTAACAAGTGTCAAATTTTGCATAAATTCAACTGAACGTAAAAGATTTAAACATCAAGCAGTTACATGCTTTAAAATAATAAAAATTATAACTATAATAGCTATTTCTTCTTGTTGTGTTTAATACTTGTAAAAGTATTCATTTGACATTGTGGGTTGCCTATAATGCGAAGAGATGGCGCTGCCTTGCAGCTTAAGAATGGCTAGAAGAATTTTGACGTGGTCCGTGAGGGCCGCGGTAGCATAATTGGTCAGTGCATTCGCCCGGATTGCGGGTTCGAGTCCCGTCTGCTGCCTGGTCCGCGTGGAATTTTTTCTAGTTATATTTTCTTTAGATTTAAACATCAAGCAGTTACATGCTTTAAAATAATAAAAATTATAACTATAAATTCAACTATTCGAACTCGATAGTGATTCGCGCTAAGGGTATAGATTTCTGACCGTTGAAGCTTTTCAAATACATCACGCACATTTCCTTTTATATTGTTATTACCAATGCAAAAGAAAAAGATGAGCGCGAAGCATTAGAAAACCTTCGGTGGTCAAAAATAACAAAATGAAATTGTAAGCTATAGTCACAGCAATCCCGATAGGTGGTAAGCACCCAGGGGAATACAGATGGAGATTAGCCAAGTGACTTTAGGCTGTAGCAAAATGCAAGAAAACGCAACGCTCATTACAAAAGCCGTTAAGCCGTTTGACCCATAACAAGCAACTTTTCACTTCAAGACTGCGTTCTAAACCTACGCTTTTATAGGGTATCTGACAGTATTAAAAAAAGTGCCAATTGTTAGCATCTGTGTTTAGAATGAATATTGGCAGGGTTTTTTACTATTTTTTCCAAAAAAAAAACATAATTTTACTAAAAAAACCCACGAAAAAGATAAAAGTTTTCTTATCTATTGTCACGTGACCCAAAACGCTAGGGATTGGCGGAGCCTAAAATGACGTCATACGCAAGTAAACTTCCGGTTAAAGTGACATTACATTGTATCTTTGACGTTTTAATAACAGTCGTGTGACGTCACACACTAGTAAGACGGCATATTGTCCAGAGAACCGTTCTCGCGGCAACTTGAAAATGGAGTTTTTGATTTGGTTATTTTTACTGAATACGCAACAGAATGATGAATATCCACTTTTTACGGACTCCATAAACATTAGTCAATAACGTGAGATCGTTTTCTAAAACTTGTCAAATACCCAATTGCAACTTTTTACTCCGACGTTTCAATTTCGACATATAATGTATGAAACTTGTGTCAAATTTGACATTTATTACACCTGGAGCGTTCATAGTCACAGCAATCCCGATAGGCGGTAGGCCCCCAGGGGAATACAGATGGAGATTAGACAAGTGACTTCTTGGTCGGTAAACAGATGGTAGACGCAGTACTATCGGGTCGCTGCGGATCGGGCACCTGCGTAGTTCGTCCGCCGGGGCACCACGCGGACGGTGACACACCCAGTGGGTTCTGTCTACTGAACACCGCGTGCGCTGCCGCTACCCACTGCGTCACTGCGCACGGCCTCACGCGCGTGCTCCTACTCGACTGGGACGTACACCACGGGGACGGCACGCAGCGGCTCACTGCGGCCTCTAGGCAAGTGAGTGGGTCACCAAACGATATATAGGTTGTGTGTGCAGTGTTATCCGGGCTGCTGCTTGACTGAGACGTGCTCTACGGGGATGGCACGTAGCGGATATTGAGCAAGTGTGTGGGTCATCAAGTGATATATAGGTGGTTCGTGCAATATGATCTGGGCTGCTGCTTGACTAGGACTCGCTGCACGGGGATCGCACGCAGCGGGCATTGAGCGAGTGAGTGGGTCATCAAACGATATATAGATAGTGTTTGCAGTATTATCCGCGCTGCTGCTTGACTGGGACATGCCCCACGGGGGTGGCACGCAGCGGACATTAGGCGAGTGAGTGGGTCATCAAACGATATATAAGTGGTGTGTGCAGTATTATCCGGGCTGCTGATTGACTGGGACGTGTTCCACGGGGATGGCACGCAGCGGGTATTGAGCGAGTGAGTGGGTCATCAAACGATATATAGATAGTGTTTGCAGTATTATCCGCGCTGCTGCTTGACTGGGACATGCGCCACGGGGATGGCACGCAGCGGGCATTGGGCGAGTGAGTGGGTCATCAAACGATATATAGATAGTGTTTGCAGTATTATCCGCGCTGCTGCTTGACTGGGACGTACGCCACGGGGATCGCACGCAGCGGAAATTAGGCGAGTGAGTGGGTCATCAAACGATATATAGATAGTGTTTGCAGTATTATCCGCGCTGCTGCTTGACTGGGACGTACGCCACGGGGATGGCATGCAGCGGATATTGGACGAGTGAGTGGGTCATCAAAAGATATATAGATATTGTTTGCAGTATTATCCGCGCTGCTGCTTGACTGGGACGCGCGCCACGGGGATGGCACGCAGCGGATATTGGGCGAGTGAGTGGGTCATCAAATGATATATAGATAGTGTTTGCAGTATTATCCAGGCTGTTGCTCGACTGGGACGTGTTCCGCGGGGATGGCACGCAGCGGGCATTAGGAGAATATGGGTGTATTCCGTAATATATACCAGTATACTAGCCAGTGCTAATGACGTCATGAATCGACGCTATACTGATGAATTGTTCCGAAATATGAAATCATGCTAGAATCGACACCAATCTTAAAGTGTTTTTTACCGAATATTGTGAAAACGCATAATATAAATAACACATTTTACACAGATTCTCTACATGTCGCTGCATCGATACGAACACGGCTCGTTCTTCCCGCACTCGCGCGCCGGCGACTACACCGCTGTGGGGGAAGGCAAAGGGGAAGGGTACAACGTTAACATACCGTGGAACAAGGTAATCATCATCAGCCTATTAATCTCCCCACTGCTGGGGCACAGGCCTTCCCTATGAATGAATAGGGAGATTGGGCCATGACCCACCACGCGGGCCCAGCGCGGATTGGTGGGTGTTAACAACTGCAGATGCAGCCGGGACCAACGGCTTAAAGTGCCTTCCGAAGCACGGAGGAGCTCGAGATAGTAAATTTTTGGTCTCCCATCCAATTACTGACCACTGCGAAAGTTACTTTACTTCAACTATCGCAGCCGAACGCGCTAACCACTTGCGCCATCGAGCTCCTGAAGGTAATATACAGGGTTAATTTTAAAACACCAACAACCTCTTAGGGGATGATTCTACCCATCAACGACGGACCAACGCTGAAAAAAAAATCTGCTGTTTCATACAAAAGTGTATCAACTAATCGACCGAAATGTATGCAACAGCTAATTTTTTTGTCGCGATTTCAGAGTTGGTCCCATAGTAAAACTTGTTCCTGTTGATGGATAGAATCACCCCCTAAGAGTTTGTTGGTGTTTTAAAGTTAACCCTGTGTAGTTATATTTTTATTTACAAGCATTTCACTGCTAGATGTTAAAATCTAAATAAATTTGTACTTTGCAGGAGACGGGACTCGAATCCGCACCCTCCGCTATCCGGGCGAATGCACTGACCATTATGCTACCGCGGCCCTAATTGTCCGTGTCGAATTTTCTCTAGTGTTTCTTAGGCTGCAAGGCAGCGTCATTTTTTCTAGTTAATTTTTTTTGAGATTTAAAAATCTAGCAGTTAAATATTATGTACTTACGCTTACAACTTTTTGAATAGTTTTGTCTCAGGAACGGTGGCTCTTGGTAAAAAATTTTAGGTTAAGTAAACGGAATTCTATTTTTTCCGCAGTTAGTTAGATAATCAAAAAATATTCACTTACATTTTCTTTTGTCATTCAACCAAAAAATGGCAAAGATAAAGCGCATCGAAGTTGGGGCTCGTGCCGTCACTTCTAAGTGAAATTTGTACCAAGACGTGACGTCATACGACATTTCAAATCAATATAATTGTTGGGTTACCCACAATGCAAGGAGATGGCGCTGCCTGCAGCTTAAGAAATGCTAGAGAGAATTCGACACGGCTGTCAGGGCCGCGATAGCATAATAGTCAGTGCATTCGCCCGGATAGCGAAGGGTGCCTGCTCGAGTCCCGTCTACTGCCTGGTCCGCGTGACTTTCTTTCTAGCAAAATTTTCTTTAGATTTAAACATCTAGCAGTTACATGCTTAAAAAAATATAATCAATATCATAGCTGTAATGTTTTGATTATGTGAATAAAAAAAATACTTGTACAAACGTTTTGATAATCTTCCTGATAGATAAAGAAAAACAGTCATCATCTCTACTATCATTAATTTAATATTATAAACCTATCTCATATTTACTTTTCCCCCTGCAGCGTGGAATGGGTGACTCGGAATACTTGGCGGCATTCACACAGGTAGTGTTGCCTGTGGCCATGGAATATAACCCCGAAATCGTCATAGTCTCCGCCGGGTTCGACGCCTGCGTCGGTGACCCACTAGGCGGTAAGTTAACTTTTTCTGTCTGTTAAGTCGAGTAAAGTAAGTAGAACATCTTAATTATCACCACTGCTGGGGCACAAGCCTAACCTATGGATGGAATAGGGAGATTGGGCCATGACCCACCCACGCGGGTCCAGTGCGGATTGGTGGGTGCTAACGACTGCAGATGCAGCCGGGACCAACGGCTTAACGTGCCTTCCGCGACGCGACGCGATGATGCCTTCCATTGGTGGTTGATAGTGAAAATTGGTAGGTAAAAAGGGGCTTGGTGGGTGAAAAGAGGATTTGAGGGTGTAAAGGGATTCGAGGGTGATAAGAGAATTGGTGGGTGATAGTGGGGATTGCTGGGTGATAATAGGGGATTGGTGGATATAGGTACTGCTTTCTCGCAAATTTGTTGAAAAACTTTATTTACAAACTCGTGACTACAGTAAGCCCTTGACTTCGTCTCGGGCTTACATTTGTCTACTCTTTTTTAATACCCAACTTACCGCACTTGTATCATAAATAACAATTAAGTTCTCATTTTGTATTGTATATTATAGTCAAACCCAGATAGAAAAAATAAACCTGCCATAACTTTTGCTAGGTTGCAACGTGTCGCCAGAATGCTTCGGGCGTATGACGCACATGCTCAGAAGCTTAGCCGGTGGAAGGGTCATCCTTTGCTTAGAGGGGGGTTACAATGTCACCAGTATCTCATATGCCATGACTATGTGTACAAAAGCCCTCCTAGGCGACCCCTTACCGCCCTGCGATTCCCGCTCCACGTGCCATCCTTCCGCAATAGAATCCATCAACAATGTCATCAGAACACACAAGAAATACTGGAAAAGCTTAATGTTCCAGCTAGCTTTACCTGCAGAAAACGTTCTAGATGAACCGCTACCCTCCAGAGGATTGGTAATAGAAGACCACAATGCGACGAGCGAATCGGATAGACTTGCAGAATTGTCTTCCAACTCATTGGATGCTTCAGCTTGCTCCAAGAACTCCAGCAGATTAGACGGATCATTGGAGAACCATATGGCTAACCTGAGCATAGATAAACCGAAGTGTGAAGATGGTATTCATTGCGGGACGGATGATGAGGAAGACAAACCAGAATGCTCGAATGATGTTAGTGAAAGTGTAGAGTCAGTGAGCGAACAAGTCGGTAGCAGTGGTGAGAAAAAGTGTGGTGTAGGTTGTGGTAGTGAAAAGACTCCGGCTACTCTAGTGGACTATTTAGCAGAGAATATGCAGGCGATAGTGGATGGGGAGATGTTTGCAGTGATTCCGATGCCTTGGTGTCCTCATCTGGAATCGCTGTTTGCGATACCTGCAGATGTTAAATTTTCACAGGGTGTGAAGTGCATCGAATGCGATGAAACTGTGGAGAACTGGGTGTGCCTACACTGTTTTGTCGTAAGTATTAATAGTTTAGAACTAGAATTTAACCACTTGCAAATATTTTCTATGTTATATTAATAAAACCATTATGGGTTCTATGAAAACATCAATCTCAAGGCCTGAGATCAATGACCCCCAGATTTTTATATCTAAAGAAAATACATCTTGATACCAAAGCTAAGTGGATTTTGTTTAGTTTAACTTTTTTTAGACCATGTTCAATACTCTTTCATACTAATCGGAATTCAAACAAGCACTCGGTCCACCTGATGGTAAGTCTTTACAGTGGCCTGTGGACGCCTGCAACACCAGGCTTATCACACGCACCTTGACGACCGGTGGTCGGTGACCCTTAAATACTTTTCACAGCTCTTTTGAAGGAACCCTGAATGGGTTCGTCACAGCTAAGGATTTTAGAATAAACTGATTAATTTATTGATCTCAGCCAGTTTTAATAAGGGGTCCCAAGTGGCGATTTTGGGATTTACTCGAACGCGACAGAATAACATAAGGGGGCAACCTTGCTCCTTACGAAGTACTCCCACCATAGTGGAATCTATATATATATATATATATATATATATATATATATAGGGCAACACAAGAAAATTTTCAACAATCGGCCATGGCTTTTGATTGCGCCCAAATTATGAGTTTTTTATATAGGAGCTACGAGAGGGTTCATAATTCTGATGACGGAAAAATATTAATCACGAATCACGATGGCCGCACGAAGGGGTAGAAAATAGGAAAATAAATATTTGAGCTTGTCAGACATTGAGAAGAGATATTACGTAAACCCTTTAGTAGCTCCTCTTCCAAAGTCTGATTTCGATGCTACCAAACTCACAGGTGATTGTTGGAAATTTTCGTTTGCTGACCTAGACGCACTTGCTGACTTGACTTTATATAAAGGGCTCAAGTATGGTAGAAGTACTTTACAAATCCCAGCCAAGGAGGCTCTCCTACTATAACCATCTATTTCGTTCCGCAGACGGCGTGCGGTCGTAGTATAAACGGGCACATGCAATCGCACTACCGGAGCTCTCAACACCCACTCGCGCTATCGCTCCTCGACTTGTCCGTATGGTGCAGCACCTGCGACGCTTACGTCGACAACTCGCTGCTTTACGACGCGAAGAACAACGCTCACCGCTGCAAGTTCGGCGAAGACATGCCCTGGTGTTATAACAGTGATACGATTCAGATGCAGTAATGATTGTGAAAGAACTTTTAGTGAAATTTTGGGCCTGATACTCTGAAATCGATGGAGCTGAGGCCCAAAGCACGAATTTTGACAGCTCCGTAATCGTATCTCATCGTCAGAGTTTCTATTAAACTAAGCAGTGCCCCCAATCGGACGTAAGAAGAAACTACGTTTTTCCATACAAAATTTGACAACGACGACACGGTTACGTAGCTGTCAAAGTTCTTAATATCATAAAACAAAAGCTCCAAAGTATAAGCAGATAATTTATTATTTTCTACGGCAGCCTCACCTTTCCATGCCCCTATGAACATGTGAAGGATATGCTGTCGAATTTGATTTCGGGTTTAGGGAACCAAGCCCATTGTGATTGGTTATGATGAGGTTACTCGAATAAGGAAAGCAAATTGTACAGGATTGTTGCCTACAAGCTGCTGTATGATGGGCCTTAATCAGCGGCGTAGCGTGGGTGTCGGCCGCCCGGGGCGAAGAACAATTTTGTCGCCCTCTTATTAAAATGGTTGAAATATTTTTATTATTTATTGTAAAATTTTGCCGCCCCCACTACGCTACTGGCCTTAATATTTATAACAGCATTAATTATGGTATTGTGATGGAACTCGTATTATTCGTGAGAGGATCGTCCGCACTATTGCTTTGTTACGCGCGTTAATATCCCGACTGTAGATCTTTACAAATTTCTCGACTTGTATTTTCAACTTTACGTCCAACGCACAACGTATAAAATGGAGCGTCTACCCATAAAAACGATTTATTCGATTATAAGGAATAACAGAAATAACGCCGGAAAGAAAAACAGTCGCGTGGACAATACCTTACTGATGATTGGTCAACCTTTACCATGTGATTTGCATTCGCAGAATTATGGCAGGCAAATATTTTTTTTAAATACTGAATTTTGTTTAAAAACTGGTATATAAACCAGGGGGCCAATCGCCTAACGGAAATGCTTTGGGAAACGCTAACGCTTACGATTTTATATTGTTATTACCAATGCAAAAGAAAAAGAAAGAGCGCGAGGCATTTGAATACCTCAGGCGGCTAGAAATAACAAAATAAAATCGTAAGCGTTAGCGTTTTCCAAAGCATTTCCGTTAGGCGATTGGCCCCCAGAGGTCATCAAGTCTGCTGTGTATGTGACAGTTTTTGAATTGATTGCCATGTTGCATAAAACTTTGTGAAGAGTTAAATTGCAGCCTTAATCCTATTGAAACTGATGATGTGAGCAGCTTATAATATCTAATTTAGTCTAAATTTAGCAAAATGAGTATGAAGTGCATCTATTTTAAATCCATTTGAGTCTTAGAGGTTAAGAATCTATTTTTCTAACAGCAATGACTTATCAAATAACATGTAGTTTTTACATAATGTAATCAAGGTTTTAATATGCGTTGGTAACCTAGCAAGCTCAATAATAAATTAACAAAAAAAATATGTTAGGTGTAATTTTAACGGAAAGATAGATAGATAGCTAAACTTGGTGAGCATGACCACTTTATCACTAGATAATCACCAGACTATATTTATAGGTAATTTTAAACTGTAGTGACAGGTATTATATTATTGACTTTAATTTAATGCAAGGCATTAATTCCGTATAATACCTTTTTCAAACATCAAATATATCAATATACTATTTTGCCACCCATTTGTAGAAAAATAATATCATTGACATTAATGACAATAATGTATTTTGGGATAAATTAAAACTAAGGGTATTTTAACGTAAGTATTAAAATTATCTGTTGAGGTGCGACAATATGCCTTAAAGTTATTTCTGTCTTAAATTATAAACTCTTAGTAGGAAAATTAAAGTTAATTCTTTAAATTTGACAATATGTTGTGACGGCACTTATTTTTACGCACTTTAAATGTCCACATGGACAACTGTATTATTACTGTAAATATAGTACTCTATGTATTTATTTGTTGTATTTATTTTAATTATTCTTATAATTGTATATCATCATGAGAAAATGAATGGATATGCGACAATAATATTGCTATCATAGTGAACAAGCCTGATTGGAGTTAAAAAACCATCCCTATTGTATTAGTAAATTTACTAATCTCATTTAAATTTTTGATCCACCCGTTTGTTTCATCTAAGCATTTCATAAATAAATTTTCACTTGATAATTTATAGATATAAGATTTTCTATTTCAAGAAATAATGTTCTCACACAAAAATTTGTTGATCACAAAAATAAAGCACATTTTCCAAGCTAAAGCAAGTTGTGTGTAATGGTATTTATGAATTAGTATGAAACATGTAGGTACTGGATTATTATTTTTCATGTATGTACAATACAAAAATATCTAAAAGTGTCGCCGCACACGGACCACACGTCACAGCCAAAAACGCCGCCACGAGAAGCTAGAAGCGGCTACTAAAGTGGCTGAAGCGAGCGACAGCGGCCGACTAAGGTAAGGGAGAGAGGGGTGGGGAATCGCGCGAGTGACGTGTGGCGGCGTTTTGTATCGGCGAATTAAGTGGCCGGTGCGGGCCACAAGAAGTGAGCAACGACGATTTGTAGCGTGTGGCGGCCACCGGAGTACCGTGTGTGGCGAGTCCATATAAAATGTATGAAAACTACAGGAAATATGCCGGTGGCGGCGTATTATGGTTGCGGTCGGTAGCCGGTGTGCGGCGTCACTTAGCCAATGACTTTACATTAGAGTTTAGGTTTGATTAAAGAAACTAATTTATGATAAAAAAAGAACTAATGTATTTCAAAATCTTTTTGTAACTGTCAGTTAATTAGTACTTTATGTAATGAACAAAATCGATACTAAATTTACTAACTATGAAAGATAACGTTTTTTGAGCAGAATTTTAGCATATAATTTTTTTAATAATTTAATAGTTAATTTAACCAATAGTTTTATTGTGCAACTATTCCGCTAGAGGCGGGAGCGCTGTAAAACGATGCAAATTTTTTTTATTATTATAAGTCACCAATTAGGGACAATTGTATTGGAAATAAAATTAAATTATTAGCAATGTTTGTGTGCCAAATAGTACGCTTACTCACACTAATCATGGTTAATTTGCTAATGTGGCAAAATAAAAATAATAACATTATATTATTGATTTTTTCTTTATTTGTTTTACGATGTGATGTGTGTTTTATCCCAATAAGGACGATGACGGAGTGTAGTAAACGAAATTATATTTAGTCCTACAGTTAGAGTATCAAAACAGTAATGGACATTATATTTTTTCCTAGCTGTGCCCTGCGGTTTTTAGGGATATTTTATCGCAGTAAAACGTAGCCTATATGTTAATCCAGGGTGTCAGCTAACTCCATACCAAAATTTATTAAATTTGCTCCAGCCGTTTAGACGTAAAGAAGTAACAAACATACACACTCACAAACTTTCGCCTTTATAATATTAGTGTGATTTTGTCAATCAACGAAAAAATTACAAAGATATAGCGCGTCAAAGTTTGGTAGTAATGTCGTAATGTCACTTTCAAGTTAAAATTGTACTTTAAAATTGTCATACGACGTTTCAATTCACTAAATAGCCGTAATGAATTATGTAATAAAGGAAAAAATACGTGTCCTATAACTCTTTGACAATCTATTTGAGAAATGAAGAAAAAAGGTTAGTCATAATATTCATATCAGTGCCGATATATGCGATTATCCAGTATTTTTTTTTTATTTACTAATTTGAACGTATAATTAACCTCGTAATGTTGTCGATGCTGGCATGATTCTGTAAACCTAAAATTAAATTTCACTATAGGTTCTTGTTCGTGTCTCAGGGAATGTCTATGAAACGTAATTAAAAGTTTCAAAATAAAAATCTTCACTGTCATGAATAGGTTTTATTCCAAAAAACTGTTTAAGACTCAATAAAAGCCAATTGTTTCACATAAGGTATATAATACACCATTTGCATTTTAAATACGTTTATTTATCCATTTGCAGACATAGCACAGCTTCGCAAGAGTAGGTCTGACGTGAGTTTTGTAAATACTTATGCTACAATGACAAATCTTTATGCAAACAGTAAAGAGGTATACTGCTTTAACTAATGTTTCTATGATTGTAATAAATTTTGATCATAATTTTTATCGAATGGTTTATATAATGCGAATAAGGTTACATAATCGATACGGACATAATATACAGAAAAATTTAATACCTACTATAATAATTAAAGCTTTCCGCACATGTATGACAATATTTTCACTATCAGATCAAAGTAAAAGTTTTATTAATTTCATTACGAGTCACGTGATGTGTACATACTTAATAAAAACATAGCTACCTACATATACCTATTATACACTATCTACCACTTGCGAGGGAATGCAGTAGTGTTAGGGTCAGTTCACACCGAGACGAGACGCGACACATCATCAGACGACGATGATGATAACGGCTGGACTGGGCCCGCGTGTTGGGTCATGACCCACCACGCGGATTGTTGGGTGCTAACGATTGCAGATGCAGACGGGACCAACGGCTTAAAGTGCCTTCCGAAGCACGGAGGAGCTCGAGATAGTAAATTTTTAGGTCACCCATCCAATGACCGACCACTGCGAAAGTTGCTTCACTTCAACGATCGCAGCCGAACGCGTTAGCCATTTGCGCCATCGGGCTCCTCGACACGATGATACCGAAAGACGACAGCGAGGCGCATCGTAAAAGCACCGCTCTTACATGCCGCGCGTACCCGCGATGTACCGCTCAAGGCGCAGCGCTGCGTGGTGCAACGTATTCTGGATTCACACAATGAAATATGTATCTTTTCATGTAGTAAATAAAGTTATGTTTTGAGTAGCTCTTGTAAATAGTGCACGCAGCTTCGAGGCTCGGTGTGAGCTGACCGGTATAGACAGCCGTACATAAAGCTACCACAACCAATCCAATATTCCCACAACGGATGTAATCTTATAAAAAGCAACAAAAAACTCAGTCTGATGGAGTGTCAGTTTTGAGATTGTATTGTTATGAGCAAATTGAAAAATATTATATAAATCAAAATATTTCTACCTAAAAAATAGCTACCTGGATGGAATATTCAAAGCCCCTTTTCAAAATAATTGATTACCTAAATAGAATAATCGACATATCAAATATCAACAAAGATAGTATGAGTGATTGTAATAATAAAATGTTTTGAAATTAGGCAGTTCGAACTTCGATCTACACCTTACATTAAAACAAAAAGGAAGATATGGCACTCGCGGCTCAAAAGTGATCCGCTTAAATTGTGGTACATGGCCACAATTCGCTTTAGCCACAATAGGACATTCAAACACGCTGCATGTGTACTCAATATAACAAAATTGCGTATATTGTGTTATAAAGATAAAACAATGCTTTCGATGATTTTATAAAGAACACAAATAATAAATCTATGAAAACGCTTTAGTACGAGTTTTACAATTACAAAAACTCTTACTAAGGGTACCGATTTTATTGTTTTTGTTTCAATAGAAATAAACAGTGTTTAAATTCTATCACTAAATCATTTGCGTCTTCTTCAATTTTAAGTATATTTGGTTACTTTTCACCAAAATGGACATAGAAACATAATTTACAATTACGAAAACTATGATAGTTTTCGTGAGCTCAAACTCGTACTAAGGGTACAGTTCTCAAAAATCACGGTTTGCCATGAATGTTATTTACTTTTAGAGAAGACAGAAAACGCAGTCGCAGGTAGAGGACAGAAAAAGCCAAGCCTAGCGACGCGAACTTGCCGTTTCGCTCGCGCTGCATTGAAGCGTACACAGTTCTATCTCGCTCGCTCGATTAAATGTTTATTTACAGAAGTGTGCGTGCGTGAGAGTTGCTTATGTAGTTTAGTCGGAGCATATTTTATTTGATGCTAGTATTAGCGTACCGTATCTTCCCTTTTTGTAAATCTACCCTCATATAATTACAACACAGAAAACAAAGTTAGTCATTGTCTTTTTTCTTTTCTTGTCATATCTTTACTGACATGTTTTCTTATATTATACCTATTCCAGCCGAGATATGATTGTTTTTACTCTATACTAGTTTAAAAAATGGTAAGGGCCCATGCACACGGCTTTTATAGGAGGCACCAGCGGCGCTCCGTCAGTTTTTTTTTCAAATTATAAGCAATCGCAAAAATGGACACCTGAACAGTTGCATTCAACGACCAGATTCAATTTAATGCTTACTTATGTTGTCTTAGGGTCAGTTAGCATGCGGGATGCCATGCGGGGCGAACTTTCTTAGATAGCGATGCATAACAAAACTATTTAATACACTAAAATAGTTCATTGAAAAATGTAGAAAATGGGTAGTTTCTGCAGCCAATTAATTACGCGACCGACGCAGGGTAGAGCAGCCTCTACCCTGCGTCGGTCGCGTAATTAATTGGGTAGCTATTAATGTTTTATTTCGTATAACTATTTTAAAAAGAGCGCAACGCGCAGTATCTCGTTCTGAAATGACCCATAATGTTATGATACCGCAAAGTATCGCAATATGACTTTGAAATAAAAATAAAAAATACCTAAAGTGCACGCGCCTTAATAGAGAAACAATCTTGTGAGTTCGTCAGACAGGTAACAACAAAGCTCAAAATACCTAATCAATATACCTTAATCAGCAATAACCGATATAAAAGTATTATAAGTATATGACTATAATTTAAATAACAATAACACTTGATTGAACACAGAAATAAATTTCTGCTAACTCAATTATAATCAACCTTAACAATAAGTAAAAATTACGTCTTTTCAGTATTATAAAACTTAATATTATATTTTCTTTTTTATAAAATATATACTCATATAAATTAGAATATGTGATGTAAAAGTAATAGTTTCAGATAAATTCATATTTTGTATAAATACATGGTGCAGGCGGAGGCCGGCGGAATGTTAAAATCACTGATGCAATTATTGCTTATCGTTTAAAATTAAATTGACAATAACGCGAGTACGAATTAGCTATTAAACTAACTTAATTAGAATGGATCTTAACTGGTCTTACTCTATAAACCCTAAAACAAAACTTCCTAAAGAAGCAAGAGATTCTTTGGTAAAAATTCAGATCTAGAGAAAGAGATTCGTTATTTCTATTGAAATTCTTTTCCAAACAAAACTGATCACGATGGCTAGGGAAAGATGGCAGAGCTTCTGTGCAAAAATGAGGGTAGTACAAGAAGTCTTCCATTAATTCGATGTAGTAGTAATTTTTGGCGGTGTCGAGTATCTGCCGCTCCAGTGAGCACGGAGAGGCCACGTAAAACCTGTACTGCTTCTTGTATTTGTGAAGCATCATTTCCGCTTCTGTGAGGACTTCGTCTATTTTCATGAACAAATCGTCCATGGGCATCGAGCCGTATTTGTAGAGAAACGTGGAGGGCGCCAATCTGTATTTGTGGCCGGTTCTCTTGTCTTTCCACACTTTCGTTGTGCTCTCCAATTGCAGCAGAAATGTTGGTATACTGTAGCTGTGCGTCGTTATGACGTGAGTGTGTACACCGTAAGTGGCTTTTATTTCTCTATGCAAGTTATCAGTGAAGGGGTATATGCCGCCTTGGTGAACGAATCCGAAGAATATCGTCAGTAAAATGTTCAGAGTGTACCAACTGTAACGCAACAGGTTCTTGAGTTTACTGCGGTATGGCCCGTCACTTTCGTTGACGTGGAGATGATTCCCGAAAAGGTAGACTAGGGGTACTAGCACCGGAATGATAAATCGTGCTTCCTGATGGGGGAACATGGACAACAGAGCGATCGGAGTAATCAGTGAGAACATCATAAGCCCCGTTATGCTTTGGATTCGCGGCAGCTTGCTATATTGCCCACGAGTAAACCTGAAAATAGAATGCAGATTTTATTATGAAGTTGTTGACAATGAGATTATTCATTGAAAACCCTCCACCAGCAATCAAATTGTGTGGGGGAACTACTTTACATAGTCGCACGTTGAAAAGTCAATATGCCTAAGAGCCCAGTGAAACATTGCAAAATTAGTACCTATAGAAGGTAGATTGTCGTTTATCTCCACTCAACAAGTATCAAATAAATTTTTAGCTTTTATACTAACTTTTTTTTCAGTTTGATTAGGTAAACTAACAATGGGCGCTAACTTCACGCCGTGCAGTAATAGGCAACTTAGGTCACGCGTATCGGAATGTACTATTATATAACTAGTACATAATACATTATATGTATAATTGTGACACCAGTAACGTTTACCGCAAATTACAAATTATTATCAACTATAATAGAATATATTTATAATAATCAAATTCACAGCTGGTTGCGCAATTGTCTCTTTCCCTAGCACTGCATATGCAACTTTATTACCTGCTAAAAGAGAGAGGTATGGCAAAGCAGATTTTTCGCTCGAAGTGGAGCACACATTTAACCACAGTTAAATAATACTACCTTTTGGTGGTGTTGAGTTTCTGTCGGTAATTAAAGGCACAAGGATCCACAGGGGTAGGGTATAGAAGCAGGGTGCAAGTGATATGATTTGTATAGCATCAGTCATATATACACAGTCAGGTCACAAGTATTGTCACACAATAAAAACTTTTCTTTTAGAATGCTGGCCACAAAAAAGTTTATTGAATTCGAATTGTTCATGAAAATAAAAATGTATACGTTTTAGAATTTTACTCATTTTTAAATATGCAGTGGACGCTTAAAGAAGACCGTGTTGCAGTTATTGCGTTGCATCGTTGCGGTTACGCGCCAATTCAAATTTTTGACATACTGAAAAATTTAAATATAACCAGAAGATTCGTTTATCGTACCATCAAACGATACAATGAAGACTCTAGTGTAGATGACAGTCAAGAAGTAGTCGCCCTCGGTCTGTTAGGACTCCAGGAGTGATAAAAGTCGTGAAGGGCGCGAATTCAAAGAAATCCCAAACGTAAGCAGAAACTGTTGGCCCTTCAGATGGGGTTAAGCAGAACCATGATGAAAAGGTTGTTAAATGAAGACTTACGGCTTCGGGCATATCGAAGATAAACAGGACATCGTTTGAATGCTCGTCTAATGGACCTGAGACTGAAGAGATGCCGCGCTTTGTTGAAGCGGTACGCGGGAAAAAAATATCGGGTAATTCTTTTTTCGGAAGAAAAAAATTTACCGTAGAAGAGAGCTACAACAAACAAAATGATAAGGTGTACGCACACAGTAGTGAAGAAGCGAGCAACCGTATTCCGCGTGTCCAACGAGGTCATTTTCCATCCTCGCTCATGGTATGGTTGGGAGTTTCTTATTGGGGCTTAACAGAGGTACATTTTTGTGAGAAAGGTGCAAAAACGAATGCAGTTGTGTATCAAAATACAGTCCTGACGAACCTTGTGGAACCTGTTTCTCATACCATTTTCAATAACAGGCACTGGGTATTCCAACAACTTTCGGCGCCAGCTCATAGAGCGAAAAGCACACAAGACTGGCTGGCGGCGCGTGAAATCGACTTCAGCCGGCACGAAGACTGGCCCTCCTCCAGTCCAGATTTGAGTCCGTTAGATTACAAGATATGGCAACACTTGGAGGAAAAGGCGTGCTCAAAGCCTCATCCCAATTTGGAGTCACTCAAGACATCCTTGATTAAGGCAGCCGCCAATATTGACATGGACCTCATTTGTGCTGCGATAGACGACTGGCCGCGCAGATTGAAGGCCTGTATTCAAAATCACGGAGGTCTTTTGAATAAACTTTATTGTCATTTGAATATATGTTTTGTTAAGTTGATTTTTTGTTTGTTTGTTACATAATGAATAAACTTGTTTCAAATATTTTATATTAAACAGACAGAATTTATGACCTGACTAGGTAGATATGGTGGCTGTTTACCATAAGGTGGGCCATACACAAAAAAAAAGATTTGATACTTGTGTGCTTGTTTGAGTGCTATAAATTATCATATGCATTTTTACAAATAAACACCTATGTTTTTCCAAACCCTTTGATTAGTTTAAGGATGGAACACAAATTATTTATAAGAGCAATTTCTATACACTCATAAAATAAAACTGTTCATAAAATATAATATAAATCTAGTAAGGTTTACCTATAAATGTATCCAGTTACTGTGAAGACTGCCAACAGACCCAGCACATTAAACAACAGAGGAATGTTGACAGCTAGGTGCAGCCACCGTGGATGTAGCCCATGCTGAGTCAGATTCCGCATGTCAGAGTTGTACCTCAGAAAATTCAGTGGTGTCACAACCCAATTATCCCAGGATAGTTTTAATGATTCTATATCAGCCATAGTTAAATACCCATAATACACAGAGTCAAATAATATCAACATTAAAACTGGTGGAATGCCACAGACTATGAGTACAAATATCCTATAATGAAAATCTTTAAAACCCACCACTTTGGACCCTAGTCCTCTATAAAGCCAGAAAAAAACTGGTGGAAATGCAAAGCCGACAAATGTAGGTCTATTGAAAATTCCTATGACAACTAAAGTTGATAGAAATAACACTCTATTCAAGGAATGTTCAGGTAAGTGAGTGGACAGCTTGAATAGTTTCACCCTTTCCACTGCACTTTTGGCTTGTTCATATTTCTCCCTAAGAAATTCATTATGGTATATAACTTTATCTGATTTCAGCATACATTCGGCAACTAAAAGAAGAAGCAATGAAAAAAACATCATCTCAAATGTGTTCGAGAAACTTCTACAGCAGTACACAAAAACAACATAAGAACTGGCAAACAATTTAAGCCTGTTTCTGAAATTTTGACCATAAAGGGTACATATTCGATACAAACAGAAGTCATTTATCAGTGAAAGAAAACAAATAAAGAGTCTTGGAATAACCAAGAGATAATAAGGTGTTTTTAAGTCAATATTAAAATATTGTTTTACATATGGATTTGTTAATTGTATAAAGTGCAAGGGTGGTCCTAATATCATTTTGGGTATAAATATATTTCTGATTGGAAATTTGGGATTGAATTCCCATGTCCTGGCAACATCAACAGTGAGAACATCTCCTGTAACAAGAGATAATACGATTATTTTTTATAATTTGTTGTAATAAAAAACGAAACGCCAATTGCTTTTCGTTAATGAATGGCCTTGGCTTACCGGCGATCACTTCAATATTTTGGAAAAACTCATCCGGGTGTATATATCCTTGTTGTGGTACTAACGTTAGCGCAAACCTTAGACCAATTAATACCCAATATGTAAAAGGTAATTTAACTGGATTTCTAAATGATATCGCTTTTAAAATATCAGATTTTAAAAACATATTATCACGTATTGGTAAAATAATATATAGAACATTGAGTTCAGTTTAAATTTCCTAGTAATTAAATTAAATTTTGTGTATCAATACAATTTTTTGATGCGAAATTTACGGTTGTAGTTTTTGACAGACAGAATTAAAATTATTTACAAAGGAAGGTCAAAAATATTTAGCCTATACAGCCTAGATTAGTGGTGCTTTTTTGTTATTTGTTTTTAATTTAAAATATTCTGCTGTGACTCCGCTACATTTAAAAGTATATTTTATTCCTATATTATAAAAATAAAACACAATTTGCTGAAGATAATACACTAACAATACTATAAAACTTGTAACAGCTATTTTCATAAAATTCCTATTCCATACATGTAGCCGCAATGCTTGCAACAGAGGTCAAAGCAAAGTCATGTGGTTTTCAACAGGGTTTACAACCATGTTTGCTACACACATGATTTAAGCACTTTACTAAAATTAAAATGTTATAAGTAGCTACGTACTACAGTCGGACCACACAGTGGTGTCGATTCTAGCACGATTCTCTAAATCTAAACTTATATTTGACAACAGTGTATCTTTGTCATTCTCTATACAGAATAAAAAGGAAGGATTGATTTTAAAAGTTTTAAGTTTAGAGAATCACGCCAGAATCGATACCAGTAGCAAACATTAAAACTTTTTATACGGCTGTACTGGTTATATTTTACAACAGTTTGCTGATTTAGTACAAAGCCGAATTTTTAGGTCAAAATTCAATTTCATTACTTTTAATGAGAGATCTCATACACGTGGTACGTCATTAACAAGGGCTCATTGAGTAGGAGATGTATATTTTTACGTTCGGGATGGTTCGAAATAATAATACCAGTTAACTCAAGTGTCAAAGTTGTGATTTTTAAATAATTTTTGCTACGTGGTCTTTTTGTGTCTGTTTTTTTATTACAGAATGAAAAAGAGAGACTGATGTTAAATTAAGTTTTAAGTTTAAAGGATCTTGCCAGAATCGAAATTACTATGCGCATAATAATGTAAAAATAATATTTAAGATAACACTCTTTGGGCTAAGTATTCTTTGTTTTTCTTTTAAGAAGAATATATAAAGGAGTTTTTGGCGGGATTTCATCGAGTGCGGTTGGCGTCTTATTTTAATTATTCTCAAATTCGTTCATAGTGGATATTGTGAAATAAAATTGGTGTGGTTTTGTGTAACAACTGTCTGCGTAACTGAAGAATTAGTGGAATCATTAAAATATACGCTATTCCGGTCAAGTGGACTTGAGAATTTTATTGTAGTGTTGACTACCTCACAGAAGCTTATCGAAAAAGCCAACTCGATACATTTCGTGCCAAACACTCCAAGAAACATTAGAATGCGTCACACCGACATTCTAATGTAAAAACAAAAAGAAGATTAATTTAATTAAAAACCAGGCTGTATGGGCATTGTTCCCTTTGCCTTCCCTAAAACGGAAGAACTTCAACAAGAATATAAAAAGATCACTGACATTGACAATCAGCTGATCTGCTGCCAGCCCAGCTGACTTATTTTCAAAAAATTTCGCGTTTTACAGTGCACTTAATACGCCTCTCTACGTTACTCTTGTCTTGTACTCCCTTGAGAAATAAAATAAATATTTATAAGAAAGAATACATTTTAATTCATTATGTTTCAATCGTTGGATTCCATTAAGAAGCATGAAGTGGAAAATTATATAGAAAAATCTTTTTCTGTGATACGAACTTATGACTGGCTGCTAGATTTATATGTTTTGGTAAGTAATTTACCTACGTCTTATTGCGAAAACTATTACTGTATTTCCTAATTATTACAGCTTGTCTATATTTTTTAGGATTTTTTTGTTGATAACCATTGGAATAAACTTCCATTATCCTGGCGTGAATCATTTAATGACATAGATCCTTCAACATTAGGGCACATCTTGAGTGGGAAACCAGCTAATATAATTTTACCTTTATCATTTTTGGCATTGAAAAGAACTGTAGATTTACTTAGTATTCCAAGACAACAGAAAACAAACATGAATATTACAAATGAATGTGGTTATGTTGGAAATAATCCCAAGTTAAAGAAAATATTTTTAAAACATGTGAAATTGAAAAAGAGACATGAAATTGGTTTGATGGCGAATATAGTTAAGAATGTGTCTGATAAAACCAAATGTGTTGGTGTATTAGACTTTGGGTCGGGGCTGGGACACCTTGTGAGACTGTTGGCATACAAATATAATCTACATACTGCTGGGATAGAATGCCAGTTTCAACTGACTGAAGAGGCTAGGTCTGTACTTTTGGTATGTATTTTATATAAGTCATCAAATAACTACTTACTAAAAATATAGATTGGTTTCACAAACATTTAATTTGTCATTGATATTTACATGTACTTATATTGATTATCAGTAGGAAAACATAATTATTATTGAAAACTGTATTTATGTTTTATTTACTAGGAATCTTGATCATGAATTGGAATATACAATAAGAAAACACATTTCGGAAGAAAACATGAAGAAACTGTTGAAACCAACACACATAAATGTGACATTGAAAAATCACCAACAATTATCTCTTATAGAATTACCTGAAACTTTAAGCTCATATGGTTTAGTTGGACTTCATCCGTGTGGGGATTTGGGTCCATTGTTGCTCAAACATTTTGCAAGCTGCGATAAAGTGAAGTTCATTTGCTTGGTTGGATGTTGTTTTATGAAGTTAACAGATCATGGTTACCCCTTGAGCCAATACGCAAAGAGTTTAAACAGTCATCTGTCGTATCCTAGCCGAGAAATAGCATGCCATGCTATAGAGGTTTATTGTGATAGATTGAGGAAGGGTGATTACAAGGATTTGAAAGTATGATTTTGTTTCTGCTATTGTATTTATTTCCCTCATAAGTATACACTTATTATTTTAAAAGTATGTGAACTTACAAATTTATTTACATTTTCAGATCCACGCCTACAGGGCTGCCCTGGAAAGGATTTTGGTGGATATTGATCCAAAGTTGAAGCATGCTCCAGTGAGAAGTATCAAACATTCTGATACTATGACATTTGAAAGGTAAAGTTTAATTGTATAGTAATAATTATTAGATAACATGACATGACTGCTTTAATGTGGTTTTTCTAATGCTGCCAAAAATAAGAAATGTAACTTCTGTTTATTATGATCAATAAATAATGTAAAGTACATTTAGTTTATTGTCAATATTAAAAAATACATCGACAGTTGAAAGACAATATCGCTTATATGCCACTTTGGTCGTAAATGAGTTATATAAATATCATTTTAATCAGTTTTTTTCCTGCATCGATGTGTTTGTGTTATGCAACTCAATTTTTTGAAGATCTTATTGTTCACAACTCTGAAGCGACATAAATTTTGGTGTATTTTGAACCAATGGCGTTTACACTCTACTATTTGGTGTATGATTTTATGTTTGCTTGACAAAAAATTTTAGGCGGGGTCATTTTCGCTTAAGCACACTTACAAATACACTTTGCAACTTTTTTATAGGAGAATATTTAGAAAATATTATATTTTTCTCATTTACAAAGAGTAGTGTTTTTTTTAACTGATAGTTGTTTCTGTACAGTTATTAAAGTGCGATTTTGCTTTTCCACTGTCAACATACTTTATTTAAACCTGCATAGCATAGCACAGAATCGTATTGATTATCATAAATAGGTTGATAATGATAAAGATTGTCAAAATATTTCTAGGTATTGCAGCTTAGCTATGGAACGCCTTAGCATTCCGTTGCCCACTGATCCTGACGTATGGTCGAGGGGTCAGGAAGACGTGCAGCTGTGGCGGCGCGTAGTGATTGTGTACTCGTTGAGGCTTGCACTCGCTCCCCTTGTTGAGACAGTCATATTATTGGACAGACTACTCTTTGTATTAGAGCAAGGTGAGTTTTTTTTGTGTATGTATGCTGTTGGTCATAGATGACCTTTAGAGCGTCACCGGGTTTGGGGCCGGCGAGATCCTTAGTCCCCTCAAGCCGTGAATTGGCGAGTGCCTCTAGAGGTATTCCAGGCGGATGGCATCTCCCCACGGGGCGAGTCTCCTCTCCGTCTGGAGCCGAATACAGGTGGCAATGGAATGCGGGTAAAAGACTAAGTGTAAATGAACGGAGTCGAGTACGCTGGTATACAGGTAGATATTCTTTTGTTTAACTGACACTGTCTTCCAGCCTGTATTCCAGTGTAAATATTGGTTCGGGTGCCCGAATTCGAGTAATGTCTTCCGTGCACCCGAATACGGGATAATGACCAAATGTAGGTAATTGCGCCATTAGCATTATTGCCCATAATATCTAAGGCTACAGCCACACTGTCTCGCTATCGCGAACATTATCCGTTTTCATGACAAGTCGGTCCGAGACATTGTCACATTTCTGACTGTGTTCTAAAAATAAATGTGAATATTACTTGGCCCAAAATTATCCATTATCGACTGTTCATCAGCGCGATCGAAATTGTACTAGCGGCGCTGAGAGAAGCAGTAGGTTGAATTTGTCTGCGACGCACGCACGACTTAAGGCAGCGGAGGCTCTAAGGCCCGTATTACAGAATGATAACTAAGTATTGATCTTTACTTGATTACATTTAGAAAGGGATGTCGCTATGTGCTATATGTAGCGATATCCCTTTCTAACTATGCTCACGACTAGATCAATCACTGAAAATCTTTCTATAATACGGGCCTAAGAGCCTTCAATTTCGATCATGCGGGTGAACAGTGGATAATGTATTTTTTATAATACTTTCTAGATAGAAACTACATAGATAAGAGCACAGAAGAGAGGAAATCGAACGTGTCCCGTCATGTGGAGCGGACGTCCGCTCCGAACTTAATAATAATTCATTTATTTCTGACAACTGTGATCCATATTTGTTAGTAGACTTATTTCGTTACTAGTGTATGTTTCGTAGCTTAAGGAAGCATTTCATAGAGCAGCGCTACGGGAGGCGGGTCTCCCGTCACAGTGAAATGACATGAAACAACACGCGGAGCCGACTTCCGCTCCATACTCCCGCTCATGGAGGTTAGAGAGAATTAGAACGATCCCTATAGAGAATAGTGTCCCAGAAATATGGCCAAATACCTAAGTGAAGCGCTGCGATCGCTAAGTTGTCTCAATAAAAGCGGGCTAATTTGAAATGACCAATGCCGCGAAGAAAATTTGTACAATATTCAACTAACTTCATCTACTTGTACTCATAAACAGCTAACTTCACACATACTACTTACCGACGGTAGCGCGGCTGGTGGCTGAAAAATGAACTAAAAATTCTACAAATTTTCAGGGCAGGTGGGCGGGGACTTTAGTACATAACGATCGTTCTCCTTATCTCTAACCTCCATGCTCCCGCTTAAGGCAGCGCACGCCAGACTTTTGATTACAGAGACAGAGTTGTTATTGATAAAAAGAAAAAAATCATCATCTTGAATATTTTATTAAAGGAAGAAAAATAAAAACATCTAGGTATACACATTCAAGAACTTTACATTTTTACAGACAATAGGGCAAACATCGATTTCTCTCTTAAACTAATGTGTAAATATATCTCTTACCTTATAATTGTGATTAATTTAAGACTAGAGTTTGGCACCATTGTTATTTATGCGGTATCATGTTTGTAAATGTAAGTACCATCATATACACATCTACTGACAATCAATCAAATCAATGTAACAATAGCAACTGATGTATAAATAAAAGTAGACTCCCAATAGCCTAATAAAAGTGCTTCAAAAAACATCCGAGCGGCGCTGTGTTCTACAATACATTTACAGATTACATTAATACATTGTTTTAAACTTTCATGGTCACTAAAATTATAGCTATCAACGGGATTGTTACCATGTACCATGTTTTTTTTAAAACAAGGTACATGGTAACAATCCCGTTAATAGCTATAATACATTAATATATTTGTTCAAATGACTATCTTATATCGTGGCAGTATAAGGTTCAATGTCTATTGAGAAAGAGTTTGATCACAGTGCGTGTCAGTGACAGAGAGTGTCAGACAAACTCAATCACGTGACATATGGGGAGAGGTATTGTTTGTAGCTATAAGAATGAAATTAATTAGCAATACGATAAAAAAAACGATATTTTAGTTGCGTAATTTTGTTAGGTATCCGAAATATGACCTCATGTTATAAGTGTCATTTGCTTTCCTAACTATCGTTTTGTCATTGCGAAGCGTTATATTCAAAGCGCGGTCGAAACACAACTGTTTGAAAATTACACACAATAGATTACGCACGCACACGCGCCGTAGAAGCAAAATTACGCACACGCGTCGTGCGTAATTTTGCTTCAGACACTGTTTTAGCACGATTGTGAGTGTACTTGTTTTTATATGTTGATGATAACTAGGTAGATTTTTGCGAACATAGTAATGACAATTATATTTTCAGTGCTAACGCTTTCAATAACAGAATCTTTGAGAGTGATTTCCACCCACTTAGAAACGGCCGATTTAATTGTAACTTTGCCACGTGCAAACTTTAACTGATAACAATTTAATAATTTAAAAAAATAAAGACGCTTTTAAAGCAGATCTAAAAAAATCGTTTGGTTCTTTTTGTTTAATATGCAATTTTACCGATCTGCCATAGAAGTGTTTTTGTGTGTTGCCATAGAAGTGCTTTTGTAACTGAATATTACTTAGATCCTTGTTGACTTTACCAATGCATCATTTCAGGGTTTTCGTGCGAAATTCTACCGGTGTTCGATCCTAAAATATCACCAAGAAATCACATTATGATAGCCAAAAGACAGTGAAGAAATCGTGAATAAATTGGTATTTAATTCAATTTCTGTGTTACTTATTTCTAACCTATAAAGTTTGGTGTCACATCTAGATAAAAATAGTTATCTGTAAATGATAATTTCCATTTTGTTTTCGTTAAAATTGCTATCTTTTTTGCAAATACAAAAAAAACATTACCTACATTTTTATAACAGTTAAATAATTAAATCACATTTACATTAAATAAAAAATATATGTGAAATTTCCTTTAATTTTATTTTATATATTATTTTATATAAACTTACAACGTAAGTCGTACAAAAGCTTTATACAAAGAACCATTTGTGATTGTAATAAAGTCAATTGAAAACAATATGTATTTTTATGCTGAAAGAGTTCATTTTAAATTCTGTCGGTGCCCTTCACAAAACTTCAACAAAGCAGGTAATTTTATGAAGTTGAAACATTTAAGGTAAATTATCACATCATTGGAAATACGAATAACATCATGTTACATTACTTATAACTACATATATCTTATTTACATTGGAATGTGGCATAGATTTGACTAGACTAAGAATTGAGATGCAGAATTGATATATTTTTCTGATAACTTGTCTTAGGCCATACATTTAGAACATTAAACATAATACAGGGTGATTGGAAGATGCGTGCAGGGGTTTGACGGGAAGGTTACATATACTATTTAGAACCATTTAAGCCATATTTGTTGTAAGTATAATTTTATTTAAACTAAAGTTTATCACTTTCGTTCCAATTAAAGTACCACAATTTGGTATACAGACCCTAGTTTCAAAAATTTTTGAGCTATCGCATTAATGATACCTCAAAAGAAAGTAGAAATAACCTTTATATTTATAACTATTTATTTTTCTTTCAATGTTATTTCCACCTCACTTGTGCACCCTACCACGTGGACATTATTCCACGGTGGACTGGAAAGAATGCCTACCGCATTAAATACGCCATTTGTGCATGAAATATAAATAAATAACCAAGCATATTTTAGAAAGATTTGAATAAAAAAGCTAATTCCGTGTATTTACTTACTTAAATTAAATGACTCTAATGATTAAGACGTTTTAAACATGTTTTCTTAGATTGCGTATACATTACTGAAATAAATAATAATAATTATTAAATTAAATGATAAAGAATTTACGTATCATTCAAACTGGTCATTAATTGCATTTACATGCGTAAAAAATATAAAAGGCACATGGCTGAAATGGTTCAAAATGGTCTATGCTAGCTTCACACCCATCTTTCAATCACCACATATACTTTATACAATAATTTAGTTTAAAGAGGCTACCTTGTATAGTTTACAATAGAAAAATGAGTTTATGATAATAATGAAGATACAATTTTTAAACTAAATTGACTTTGTTTCTCGCTTAATGGTGAAAGAAAGTTTTTACCTGGAGGAATTCATCTTCTGGAACTGCATATTACCTATCATCAACATTGAATAACGAAGGTCAAAAATAAATATATACAATAGCGATATTTTATATAAAATGTGAAATGTATATATTAAAAGCAATAAATTCTGACAGGTTTGTTGATTTGACTTTCAAAAAGCAATCTCTTTATTTGTTTATTCGTATTTTTTCAATAAAACATTGCAAAAGGAAGCCACATACGCTTATCAATAATAGTACAAAACATTTCAGTTAAACCGACTTTAGAAGGGTAACTCGGTAGAGTTTCTATAGTATTTGATTAGGGCGCTTTCAATTTATGCGTTTCTTGACGGCCTACTGCGGTGCCGAAGCGGTGCGTTTGTCGTACAGCGTACGGACGATCCCGTTTTTTCACACAAAACGCGCGGTGCGGCAACAGTGCGGCGCCGGTACCGCGAACGCTCGACAACAGGACTGTTGCCGACCCGCGCGTTTTGTGTAAAAAAAAAGGATCGTCCGTACGCTGTACGACAAACGCACCGCTTCGGCACCGCAGCAGGTCGTCAAGAAACGCATAAATTGAAAGCGCCCTAAGGTCACTGGTCGGAATTGGGTTGCCAGATGCTGACTCATTAATTCCTAGACATTGGACCCTCCCCCCCTGAAAAGATATATAGCATCAAATCACACCCCAGAATTAAAACATCAAGCGGGCCAGCGGTGTCATTCGTTATTAGTTTATTTTGTTACGACACTAGCATAATTTTGGAATCCGGGACAGTAAGGTCTAATTACTGGACACGCGACAAGACGCAAAATTCCGGGACAATCCCGGATTTCCCGGCTATCTGGCAAGCCTAGGAACCGTTCGAGGCTTAAAGTATTGCTTTCGACATTAGAAACTTCACACATTGCAATTCATATTCCAATGTTTGACGTTTTATGGTCTTTTAAATTGATGAACACCGGCTGGGCCGAGACTTCGAACATATCGTAATTTGTTCGAAGTTATCTCTATTACTGATGCGAATGCAGCCATCGAAAAATCGACTTCTATTTTCGAAGTTTTCTGGTCGAGATGGAGCTCGAAAAACAATGTCTATTTCGAGATTTATTCGGTTGAAACGAGAATAGGGCCCTGGACCTTATTCCCAGACCCTGTGGAGCTCTGACAATTTCAAATTTTGGTCTTTAAAAGTAATAGAAAGTTAAAATTTCTATCTGTTGATATTTATAAATATGCAGCACACCTTATAAAAATCAATAATATTTCTATAAATAGTTATATCTCTTTTACAACAAATGTTTAATGAAAGAGTTTACATACTAACAACCCTTAATATAAATTAATAGTCCACAGAGACAACAATATTTTTCGTCCTTATATATCCATCATAGGGGCGTTTTCTGTCTTATACGAATGTTGGTCAACATATAATGGTCCTCAATTATTTTATCTTTCTGATGAGGACCACTGTTAGGTTCGCCCATTAAATCTCATCGTAGATATCTATTACTATATACCTACCTACAATAAATAGTTAATAACGGCTATGTACAGAAATAGCTTTGAATCATCCAGGGGTTTGTAATGATTTGCATGGCATCACTTAACACATACATCCAGGGGCGTCTTTTAAAATCTGCCGCTCCGGGTCAATTACGATTTGCACTCCTCCCCCTCCAGCTAGAATTAGTAAATCTAATTATTATAAAGGTCTGTATAGAATGCCTTTATGGCTTCTGCCACCCCGAGCCATGGTCCCTTTTAGCCCTATGGTAAATACGCCCCGGATCACATCACAAAAAGAGATTGTGTGAGGAACCTAATAAGTGCCCCAACCAACAATTTTGTCCTATAACCAAAACTTATATCTCAAAAAAGCTGGGTAAACGATGTATTAAGGTTTTGGTGGTGACTGATGGTTGTGTAATTTAGCGTTCGACAATACATTTTGGCTTTTTAAGTTAATACAGCAAAAACTATCTATTATCAAGTGATGTAAAAGTTTACTTCGCCACTTATTGTAGCTGTTATAGTTAGGTGTTATAGCAACCTCTAATGTGACCAGTATACAACGCTATAACTCTAACAGCGTTTACAGTCGCCTTAATGCGCCTGATTTCCGTTATAAAGGTTCTCAACGAACTTTAATAGATTTAATGGTAAATATATTAAGGTCCAATTTTTATTTTTTAAGCATGTATCAACTGCTTGATGTTTAAATGTAAAGAAAATCTAATTATATTTTCTTTAGATTTAAACATCAAGCACTATAATTGCTATTTCTTCTTTCAAATTTTTAATACTTGTAAAAGTATTCATTTGACATTGTGGGTTACCTACAATGCGAAGAGATGGCGCTGCCTTGCAGCTTAAGAATGCCTAGAAGAATTTCGACGCGGCCATCAGGGCCGCGGTAGCATAATTGGTCAGTGCATTCGCCCGGATAGCGAAGGGTGCGGGTTCGAGTCCCGTCTTCTGCCTGGTCCGCGTGGATTTTTTTCTAGTTATATTTTCTTTAGATACAAAAGTTCGTTGAGAACCGTAGTGGAAATAAAAACTTACCAAAATGCAATATTATGGGGTGGTCGATCGTCGTTACAACACCTAGTACAATAGTGAACTGAAAAAACTTTACAACAGAATGATTTCGTGATATAGGAGTTTCAAATTACCCTTGTTAAGCAACAATTGTCCTATAAGGGTTATTTAATACCCATTATAATCGTAATGATTAACCTGTCACAAAGACACTTTTATAGAACAGGATTGTTTTCTATGAGTCCTTCTATTACACAATATTGTTGTAACAGAGGTCCTATCTCTTTTATAACATAATTACGGTATATAAAGGCAGGTTAATTTACTTTTAGACCATAACATTGGATAGGCCGTCCCTTCTAGACTCTTAGGCGGATATGTGTACTCCAAGAAGGAACAACTATTGTATCGCCATTGTCAAATTTTCTATGGAAGGAGCTAGTTTGTTCTTACATCCGGTAGGGGCGCTGCCAAGTTTCCAAAGAAACTTTGACGATGGCGATACTTATATAGATTCTTATATTTCTCGATAGTTGTTCTTGCTTGGAGTACTGAAGACAGAAAATGCCCACGTTACCCTAGGTTCGCGTACGGTGCCGTATTACGAACTCTTAACGCCAATCAGGCGAGACATCACATGCGCACAGTAGAGCACCATCCATTGGTGTCCATCCGATCATGTAAAATAACATTAATTCTGTGTTTTTTTTTCTAAACTGTAGTCTTTCCTTAGCTCACTTTTAGGGTAGGTTTTTGGCCAAAAGCTAATGCCCACCGCATTGGCTTTTTAAGCGTCTATTTGACAGGAAGTTTTGCTTTTCGTCGTTGTTGTCGTTTTTTTTGAAGGTAGGTCAAGGTTATGACTTATGAATAACCTGTCGTCTAATGGGGCGACTGAAGACTTTTCAGTCGCCATCATTCATGCCCCATGGAATTGACTGACGGCTGCATGAGCGTCTAACGCCTGATGAACGATTGAAAGAACGATCGAATGAGAACTTAACTAAGTACTTTGTGGATGTTTTCAGAAAAAGTAAACGCTCCGACGCGCGCCGTTAAG